AAGAAGGCAAAACAACGACACAAACCAGGTTAGGCAAAATAAATCAAACATTATTCATTATAAACTAACAGAAATATGAGAATAAAAGGGGGAAAAATGAAAAAATCTAAGTCATATTAACTTAACTGATTAGCATTGTATTTATCTTTCTGTTAAATTTGGGGGTTTATATATTTTAGTGCATTTCACCTTTTTATGAGGCAATGTATCCCTTTAATGTAATTCTTGAATTCTTTGCAACAAAATTAAGATTTTTCTTTCCTATTGTTCAGCAGAAAAAAATAATATCTTCATGATTGCATGCAAGTAGGGGCTGGTAGGTTTAATGATATAAGGTTGATCTGTGATTTATATGAACTGCCCAAAGCTGTGTTGTACAGTATATTCTCAAGTAAAAAAAATAACAAAACTCGCCAGTATTGGATTCTTTTTTGCACATATTTGTTCAAGAGAGAACAAGTTTGGTCGTCTCAATTTTTGCACATGTAATGAATGAAAATCAAGTCATAAATCTGTTGACTTTCTTTGTTTGTTTGTTTATAGGCGACTCATCCGGGCCTGCTGAAGGTCAGTGGTCTGCAGGAGGGCGTCTACACCTTCCAGATGACGATCACTGACACAGCGGGACAGAAGAGCTCCGACAACGTATCTGTCACCGTGCTGGCACCGAAACACCAAGCAGAAGGTGATGAATTCTCAAAATACACACATCTTTAATATGATTTTGTTTTAACCTCCTTTGTGAGATAATGGTTTCTCCTCAAATGTTCAGTTTATTGTTTAAAGCTTGTTCGTCTAGTCTTTGATAAACGTGATCTTTTCCTCATTTTCAAATGTTTAAAGCTGTGTTTTTGTGGTAACTGTTTCCTGATGTTTACGTTTGTGTGCCCACAGTCTGTACGGGTCACTGTTCAAACTATCAGTTCAAGTGTGATGATGGCTGCTGTATTGACATCACCTTCGCCTGTGATGGGAAGCAACACTGTCCAGACCGCTCTGATGAAGACTTCTGCCCAAACTGTGAGAGACACGTCATACCCATAGCCTGTTATATCGCTCTTGTATTGTGATCACACAAAGACGACATGGTTCATTTACTTTCTTTGATTTCTTCAGTCGACAGCAGCAGGAAGACAGTCACCCACACTGCTGATCCGTCAAACCCTCGTCGACCTGTAGCGCAGACGGAGGAGTCTGAGGACCTCTCCATGATCCAGACTGGATCCAGAAAGACCGTAGAGAGCATTGTACCCCCTCAGGACAGGAGTAAGTCCACTCCTCCACAGAGTCCCAGTCAACCAGAGGCTGCAGCCAGTCAAGGTAAGGATGTGTTTGAAGCCGTGTTTGCACAATCTGTTACATCATCTGTTTGAACTCAGAGTACCTCTCATAGCTGCAGCGGGGTGATACAAAAAATAGAGAGATTTTTTAGAATACACAGTTTGATGGAAATCTAAAAGCATTTATTCTACTTTAGCTCTACCTGTTCAAATGTTTGCTTAACAATATGATCCTCCATCACGGTGTCATTAGTGCAGTATCTCTTTGTAAAGAGGCGGAGAGGGTTTTTAGTGTGATTCTGGCCACAGAAGCAGATGGAGCCCTTGTAGGCAGCCATTGAGTCACAGCATACCAAGCTGAAAATGCTGCCAGAGCCACAGGGCCACTCTGCAGTCCCTGGGAAAGCAGCTCTGTGCCTGCTGGAACAAAGCGCCTCTGTCCCCTCTGCCATCTGATCCCTGAATCAGGCTGAGAGCGACCAAAAGAGCTCCTCTCCCCCACCATCAGTGTTTACCACAGGTATTACACGGGTGAGGAGCATTCTCAGGAGTCTTTTCTTCATGTCACCAATGCTGAGGTCCATGTCTAAATGCTCGGAAGGCTGAGATAATACTTTTAGTTTAGGAAAGAGAGAGAGGGAGAATAGTGGATTAATGACACCTACTCCGACCTTCTCGTCTCTCTTCTGGCTGAGCATTCACTTTCAGGATCAATCAAGTGTTTCCTCTGTAATCTGCAATGAGTGAATATCTTGGCCCCTTGTAAAATGATTAAACAGAATATTGCATAAAGGTAAAGGTGTTAGTCGCCTATTGCTATTGACGAGCAGACATTAAACGAAGCTTTGACTTAAACATTAGTTTGGAGTTGTGATTGTGGCCTCTTGTAATATGAAAATCCAATATTCTCTCTCTGTAAGCTTTGTTTTGAACTCCACAGGCATTAAAAACTCTAAAAATTAAGTAATCTAAAAAAATATATATATTTATGGTTTGGACTATTTTCCGATATTAAGACTTTACCTTAAGTGTCAGGAAACTGTAATAAATGTGATGTTTTTTTACTTTTGATGGTGAATAGACAAAAAACAAATTCTGCTTTAATCAAAACCTGCAGGTGAATCAATCATGCATTTTGTTTAACAACATTAAATAACTCAAGCAGTCTGAAGTAATTTATCGTATCTCTGCTGTTTAAAATGATGATTACATTTTAGCCTTTTATTTTCTTTTTTTTTTTTCAGTAAACAATTTTTCATTCAGAATCTTGGCGATCAACTTTAAAAGTCTTAATTTGTTAAGTGACAAGAAGCTGAGGGAAGGAAGCCACGAGGCTACCTTCAGACACTCAAGACGAGGACACTTTTAATAAATCAGGGCATATGTCTTATCAGGAAATACACACACCAATTTCTACCATGCAGGATCTTCTTCAGGTTCTGAAGAAGTCTACCACCCTGTCATGGTGAGCACCCAGTATCCTTCTTTTTCCTGAGTTAAACAAGAAGCTGATTGTATACGACCCTCTCTCTCTCTCTGTAGATCCATGTGCTGCAGCTCCAGTCGTTGGACCCTGCACAGGAAACTTCCCTCGCTGGTACTACGACAGAATTGCAGGAGAATGCAAACACTTCCTGTACGGCGGCTGCCAGGGCAACCATAACAACTTCCTCCAGGAGTCTGACTGTGTCAGTGAATGTATACAGAAGAGTGAGCATCTCCTTTTTGTCCATTAGTTGTTTAGTAATTGTGACATCATCATCACACCAAACTACTTTTAATTTGCACGTTTCATGGATTCATCTTTCAGGTCCAGCTTTCAAACCAGCGACTGTGGCTCCTCCCATCACCAAACAGACTGACATAGGTAATGGAGTACATTTCAGTAAAACATGATAGGTGGGGTGCTGATAGCCTGGCGGTTATATCAAGCGCACCATGTTCAGAGGCTATAGTCCTCATCTGAGCAGCCGTGGGATCAAATTCAACCCTCGCCCTTTGCTGCATGTCTTCCCTCACTCATATCTGCCTAACTTCAGGAATATCAAAAAAAAAGGCAAAAAGGCAACAACAAAAAACTTTAAAAAACCTGATTGGCATATCTGTAAAAAGACGTTACTGTTGAGTATTTCATATTAATTTTGTTTGTTTGTATTATTTTTTTCAAGCTGCCCCTAAAGTCTCACAGAAGCAACCAGAGACTGACGTCCCCATCTCCAAACCATTCCCAGTAATGGGAGGGCATCCAGGACCAGAGTCAGGTACGAGTCAGCATGAAATGTCTGGTGACTTTCATCGTACTGCTACTTTTTTAACTGGGCATTTCAACATGGGCTTTAGTTGGGATACCTTGGATTTTGTAGTCAGCCTCAAGTGGACACTCTGGGATCGAGAGTTTTTCACTGTTGGTGCTTTGTCTTAGTTTTTCAACACTGGCTGCCTGGTCTTAGCTCTTCTGTTTACCTCTTGTGTCCCTTTCCCCTCCTAAAGGTGCAATCCTTCCTCTGGCTCTCGGCATAATCATCACCGCTCTCCTCCTTCTCATGATTGGCTGTCGTCTCAGACTTGTTCGTCACAAGCTTAAGAAAGCCCGACCGTTGACCACAGAGGAGTCAGATTACCTCATCAACGGCATGTACCTGTAGCCAAGCGGGCTGCTGGTACATACAGCAGGCAGCAAATACAAGAGGAACACGGATCATGTCACCAGAGACTGAGACAGGAGCTTTTGAATTTGCACTCTGAATTTCTCACCGCCTGTTTCTCTTATTTGTCCTCACTTTGGAAATATCACAACACTCTGCTGTCATGAACAATTCTGAACATCCTAACATGGAACCCCTTTGCTGCTGATAGACCCTGCCTTCAAAGCCAATGACACATATTCAGATTCAAATCACATTCATACTGTTGTCTTAAGAAAATCTGATTGTAAATCTATGATGTAAAAGTCATAAGACTTATGGACAGCTGTCAAACTCCCTTGTTAACTTCTTGGATGCAGTAAAGAGTCCCTTCTGTCTCCTGTACTTCAAACGGGTTACTTGGATGTTATTGTATTCTAAATCAACATTTATTTTTATGACTAAGGCTGCACAAAAATGTTACATTTTTGCCACTGGGTGGCACTAATGTGACATATTTGTACTGTACAGTTCACCCAAGATAAATACATTATTAAACACAATCTGAGTACTTGCTGTAGTGCAACTTAGTTTTTTTTTGCAGTACTTTAAAGCCATAACAAATGATATTAATGTCTACATTTTGTTGCGTTACTTTAAAAAGCAAACTTATGTAGAGTTGTATTATATTGCACACGTGTATTCCATCAGAGTGCTGACTTTTATGTGACATATTAAAGTTTATTATATATCATAAAGCCCTCATGTGGTCTGTTGAGACAGCAGTTTTCAATAATCAAATTTTTATTGACTAAGGCGAGGTTTTTTACTCCTGGGGGTTTTAGGAATGTGAGAATTTTGGGAGTTTACCCCCCAGAATTATAGACTCACTTCAATTCTTACACTTATAGTTTGAGACTTGGTTTAATTTTCATATTTTTAGACAAAAACAAATTTAGATGTATTAAAGATTTAATATCTACCACAGAATTAATTGAATACGGCAAATTGACTTGTTAAATGTCTGCCTGTGAGACTTCATTGTAAAAAATATATATATTTATTGAACACTAGATTCAGTAACAAAAAGCAGACAAAAACATAAGCATCTCTTTATTCTCATGAGTTCCAGAAACTGAAAGCCAACTATCGTCCATCACCCAAAATAAAATGTGCTTCTTTTTTTTGACTGCAAGAAAACAGACATTCATTTTGCTTTGTTCTGTTGGAGTTTATTTTGGCAAAGCAGTGACGATCTCATTGGGCATCAGTCACCAGAAGAGCCTGCGCAAAATTGTTAATGGAAAACCAATCAGCTGCAGAAAGCAACACATCACCAGGTGAAAAGCACAGCTCTGTTTATGTGCATATGTGTGTCGGTGCTCTCTTTGGAGTATGTTCAATATGATCCACTTCTTACTCTATGTGTAGAATGATGCGAGTGCTGCACATCAAACATGGTTTGTGGGTTAGATCAGCCCGCGTAGTGCTTGTGGGTAATTTCAATCCAGCAGTTGAAAATAAAACAAGACCAAAAAGATGCAGGCCTGGAAAGAAAAACAAAAACAAAATATTTCTGTGCTGAGCTTCAAGCAGTCTTTCTCCCCAGCCCCTCCGGGCCGTCATCAATGTGATACTCTAGTCCGTCGTTAGAATCAAATCATAAAGAGCATGTTTCGTTTGAATGCCATGGGCTGTCTGACCCCATCCCAGCTTTTCCAGGTTCAAACTTAAAGGTGGATTATGCACTGTCTTCCTCTTCAGAGTTCATCCCTGTGAGGAAACAAGAGGCGAAATGTCAGGAGAGAAAAAAAAAAAGAACAGAACAGAATCCATCTTTCTGTCATGCAAACAAAATGTTAAAGAGAGTTAAAAGAATAACGTGCAAAATGTATGCAAAGAGATGCATTCTCACAGTCAAATGCAAACAGGTGTTGGTTTTTTTTTTTCTACGTCTCACAGATTAGGTGACCAATCAGAATACTGCAGGTTTGTACAGAAGCTCTGAGAGGCAAGTGGGAAACAACGGCTGTGCAAATCAAACTCATTCACTACTACCTAAGACTTCTCAGTGGAGGACTAATGGTGCGTTCCATTAACCTAGGAAAATAGCATGTCGGAACTGGGAACTGACTGCATTCCAGTAACAAGGTCACTACAAGTCGGACAAGCAGCATGGACGCCCTCCAGGAGTTCCTTTATTTTGTTAGCTAATACCTGACGATAACAACACACTACTTGATAGTTTGCACGCATAAGTAACACGTCACACGTCCACAGATAGAAACAGCACGATACTATCAGTGTGATGAAAATAATTACACAAAACAGGACTAAATTGCAAATACACACTCAAATGTACAGATTATCTTTACTGTTACACACGTAGCAGCCATGTTGGATTTTAGCTCAGGCTAAGTTCCGCTGAAATTTCCGAGTTAAAGTTTCGACTTCAGGTGACGTTTCTGATGATGCATCTAACTGGAAACTCGGGATGTCCACTGCTGTCAAACAATATAATATCGCAGCTCTTGGCATGCAGGGATCAGAAATAAATAAATGCATGAAATTCATTAGCAACTAATATATTGAGCATATTTTCTAAAATAATTATATTTTTCTGCTTGTAATGAAGCCATTAAATGTATCACCAGATTAGTGTTTTCCTCACTTGCCTTGCAGAGCTTCTGCAGGGTTTTAATATAATATGAGAATCCAAACTGACAAAGAAGTCATGCTCTATCTCCGCCTCTTTTTGTTTTTTTAGGTTCAACAATGACACAAATTTCATTAGTCGGGCAGGTTTAATTGAACCAAATTAGAATTATGGAGTTAAAAAAAAAAAAAAAGGTAAAGGAAACGTGCAGCTTTTTGGTATGGTATGGAAGAAGCAACTAAAGTCAACAAGCAGCAAAATGCAGCCTCTTGTGATCCATTGCCTGCTCCAAGCCAAAAACCATTTCACCTTTGCCACTGTGAGAAGGAGAGAGGGGGAGGAAGGGGGAGAAGGAAGTCACTTCCACCTGGACCACTGCTTGTCTCTGTCTGTTAAAGGCACATAAATCACCCCCATCAAGGGCTTCATTTTGGTGCTGCCGTCCTCCATCTTGTCGTACTGCTCGAGCATTTGGTTTCCCCCTGCCGGGCCGACGGGCAGAATGAGCCGGCCGCCGGGCTTCAACTGGTCCAGCAACTGGGGGAGCGAGAGGGTACAAAATGTAGTGAGTCATGGTGACACAAAGAATGAGCATTCAGCAGGACGGTTCTAAAAAGACATTCCAGCACTGCTATTTTAATCGAGTTGGAAACATTAACTTGTATTAAATTGTTACTTTTTTTTTTAAGCATTGGTATTCACTCCTCTTTGTAAGTGAATGGGCTCAATGTGACCTCAATCATCAGCTCGGAAAGTGTTTTAAGACTCACAGCTTGTGGGACAGTGGGTGCTGCTGCGCCAACGTGGATGGCATCATATGGTGCTTCCTCAGGGATGCCCATTCGCCCATCTCCCACTGTAACACACACACACACACACACACACACACACATTTCTTGTCAGTATTCTTTTTTAAAGTCATTTATAGGGCTTTCACAAAACCCTGGGCCCTGTATTCACAAACATTATGAAATTAGCAGATCTAGATATATTTTCAGGAGTCCATATGTGAAAACGGCTTTTGTGTTATATTGTTTACATCTTAAGTAGTTACTGCCTCGTGTAATTACAGATGAACCTAAACCGAACAGACGTCATATAAAGCATAACTTGTTCAACAGTATCTGGCAAAAGCTTGGAATTTTTTTACACGATTAGTTCCTGAAGTAGTCGGCTGGAATGTATTTTCTGTTGGCTGACATGAGAGATCACGAGAGAGAAATACTGGACCTGATAGAAACCGCTTTGCTTTCCCACCCACTCTAACAATCTGTCTAAACGGTGTACTTGCCACTTTTTAGATAAGATATAACTAAACAAAGACAGAACGTTTGTTGACTGTCTTTTTATTAATCACCATGTGGCATAAACTTTAGTAACCTCCTGCAGAGAGGGTGAAAGTAGGGACTTGCTACTCAATTATTTAGCGGCGCATTACCCAGTCCACTGGGTATGTTTGGTTCTCTGCTAAATAAAAAAACCCAAAAGTCTGAGCTTCACACTGTCATGTTTTCAAAATAAGGGGTCAACTGAAAATGTCTCCTATTCAATATATTACAAAAGTATTGTATTTACAAGATGATGAATGACGTCTTACCTATTAGCTTGACTCTGCCTGATGTTATCAAGCTGGGGTCATCTTTCTTCACGTTGGTTACAGAATCATCTACCAGCTCTTTGATGTGATCAATGCCTATAACTTTCCCTTTAGGTCCAACCTGTAAGACACAGAGGGAGGAGAAGGAGGAGGATCAACGCTCAGTTCAGACACAAATATCACAACATCGCAAACCTGATCAGCGTCATTTTGCGCCGATTGGTTTGAGGAACAAATCAAATCAATCTAATGGATCAGAATGCCACCGGAGAGAAATCGGATGTGTTTACCCGTCATGAGTGGCTCACCATTCGTGCGAAGCAAACGGACAGGATTCCACTGCCCGAGCCGACGTCCAGAGCTTTGGCTCCATCGTACAGCTGGTCGTGTAGAAGCTCCAGGGCGTAGGCGTGCTGCGTGGAGTGGACATCGACAGGGAAACTGCATTATAACTCATCTGTGTGCATGAATACCGCGTTTAACACTGACTGCGACGTAGAAGGTAAATCCCTGGTTTCAATCAGAAATGATATCAAAACAATTATTTGGCATGGATCAAAGTTTGCTGATATCATGAAGTATAATAAGATACAGCCTTGATTAGATTCATGATGCATTTTATGAGATAATATCCATCCAATACAATCAGTCACACTCATCAAATTTACAAAAACAAAGAAAATGTGATTGAAAAGCTTTACAACTGAACTCTTCTTTATTAAAAACAACATAATGATTTTAATAAAAGAAATTGCACTGTATGGTTTGTACTGAACCAGTTTTGATCCCCATCAGTGGTTTGATACTCCCCTACTTACTAGCTAACCATCTTCACTGTGTGTCTCTTTCTGTGTCTGTAAGCATGACAGGGGGATTTTCAGTTTCTTGAAACCATTAAGATTTAAGGGAGCTAACATGCAAAATATCAACACGGTTTGGTTAGCTGCCGTTGTAATCCCATACAACACTGGATGAGATCTGATTTGGATTTACAAAGTAATCAGAAATTACATCATATCAATTATACAGCCTTGATTAGAGTCATGATGCATTTTATGAGATAATATCAAAGGTGTGTGTCTTGTGTCTTGTGACTGCGTCTCTTTGATATCTGTTACACGACTGAGTAAGGACCGGCTTTACAAACGTGATTTCCAAGGGGCAGAAAAGTCTGAGAGTGTGAGAAAGTCCTACCATGTGTGGGGCGCTGATGGTAGCTTGGTATCCTTTTGGATAAAAAAGAAAGAAGCACATATTTGGTTATTTCCTCCCCCTCTGGTAACGGACTGTGTTTCAGACTGTGCGGTGATGCATGAGTAAAAACACGAGCAGACGTTACCTATTGACTGAGGAGAGTCCATGTAGGGATTACACCTCGAGAAATGAGCTCGGTCTGTGGCCAGCATGACTTCGTAGACCTTGTCGGACTTAATAATGCCATTTTCTGAGGAAGTAAAAGAGTCTGTGTCACTGCACATTATGAAAACATGACCAACTACAAACACTGAGCCGCTCTGTGTTACGTAATGCTTCAGCAAATGCATAAAGGGATATATAAAAGAGGAAAAAAAGGACAGAGTTAACTGAGGGTTTTACGCATTGCTCAGCCAAAAATACAGACGCTGTGCTGCATGACTTGACATTCAGCTTGACAGTTTGTAAGCAACCTGAGCTGTTCTCAATCCCTTTAGAAATATGAGCGTTTTACAACATTGTGAGCAATTTTCCAAATCAATGAGCCTGACTTTCTTATTGCCACAAATGTAATTTGTTTGTGATATTTGTCCATGTGATACAGCACATTTCATTTGAATATATTAGCTTTGCATTGTTTCAGCCTTTCTTATTTCTTGTGTCTTATTGCCTATAATACATGCAAAAGCGTAGGCATTAGAAAGAAAGATCATTCTTAGGTATTCAATCCACTGATTAACCAAGAACGAGTATTCTAGAGTCTCTTCCTAATAACATTTGAATATGTTTCTAGAAGATGTCAGCATATAATTATAGTGGATATTAATTATCTGGGGTTAAATGACTTTATAAATACAACAATAATATTGGTTTTGCAGGGAGCTTGTGGAAATGATTGTGACAAGAAGACTGAAATGTTAAAAACAACTGCAGGATGAAAGCTTCAAGTCTTCAGTATGAAGATCAGCCACACATGATGAAATGAGGAGAACACAGATAAGAGGTGCTATGTGTGTTTTACTGACATAGACACATGTCTGGAGGGCAAACTGACAATGTTTAGAGGCATGTAGAGGATGACACTGAAAAGGCTGTCCACATATTAGGTGCTAGTGTCTTCAAAATAATCCCTGACAACAGGTTCCTGTAGCAGCTCGTGCCAAAAGGCAGGAACAGCCAACGACAGCCGGCGCTGCTCTCCTTACCGACTGCGCTCACCCTCAGAGCTATGTGCTGCTTTAGGATACATTACAAATAACCCATGCAGGATGCCAGATGGACACCTACTACTGATTTCTCAAATGGAAATACAGGCTGGTTTTAAGAGCTCTTTTTTCCAATCCAAGATTTTTCCAAAAATTGTCTCTGCACACTCCAGGATAAGCAAACAAACTAGTTTGGTCTACAGACTTCACCCAGACATTTACTTTTTCTACAACCCATACATGATTATTGAATTTCAAAAACTCAGGTTTTAAAAAAAAATGCAATTGGTTGAGCTATTCAGTGCTGGACAGTCCTGGGAACACATCATGAGGACACAAACTATCCAAAAAAACCAAGAATTAGCATGCATCCTGAGTGTGACCTCCTTAAATCCAGCTTAAGCAGACTGAGAGGTTACATTTAAAGCTTTTTGTGTGACTAAATGGGACATTATCAAAGAAAATCAAATGAATGACCATTTCAAAGAGAAATAGAACATTTTACGTTTATAGTGACCAAACATCTGTTTACTGGTGTTAATAAATAATGCATTTTCATTTCATTTCATTTTCTGAATGAGATCAAACAGCCTTTTGATGAAAAACTGGTTTCTTTTTTTGTAGATTTTCAGCGTTTTATCCTCCTGCACTTTAGAGCTTTGCAAACACTGGAACAGGAATTAACTTCACTATACACAATTCGATAACAAATGTAATTTATTACTTCGATAATAAATGTAAGTTAACATCCACATCCCAGCCGAGAGGGGAGATTAATGTGCAATTTGTGCTTTTGAGTAATACAACTTGTGCATGTCTGGACACACACAGCTTCTGACAAAAGCTTGCAGCTCAACTATCACTTTGACACTGCACAGAATAAAAATAACCCTGGTAGATACTTTAAATTGCACTCTAGTCTGCAGGTATCATAACATTTGATATTATGCAAGTCTTGAAACACTGCATGTCGACTCATGGCCTACGTTTGCATGTTAACCTTGAAAATGCACTACCATCTGATTGCAGGATAAACCATGAGGCATTGATCACTGTGGACTGTGCACCTGATAACAGCCGTGTAGGTACACTGAGTCATTGCCCTTTCTTTGATTTACCCCCAGTGTACACAACACACTGCACGTATCAATCACATCATCTTTAACAAACGCACAGTAGAAACCAGCCTCACACTCACAGCTGTCAGTGTCGTTCATGCAACAGCGACGACAAAACGGTTTCGAGATACTACCATTAATGAATGTGGGCAGGGCTCCTAGCAACGATGCTAAATGACGCACATAGGCTAAGCAGCAAATATCATCTGAGTCTCAACACAACTGTGGTGCAATTAAAGTCGTTTGTGTTTATTTTTATTTATTTTTTTTGCAGCGGATGAAGCCTACATCTGCTGCATCGGCGTAAACGTGCATTTGTGGGGGGGAAAAAAGGGGGTGGAGAGGTAACCCTAGGTCAACAACAAACATAGCTCATAGCTTAGCAACCAGCTAACTAACAGTGCCTGTGCAAAACCCTCAGCCACCGGTGCAAAACTTAAACCCCCGTTAAACCGGGAGCGACCTGTCCCGGTGCTGTCGGCCTTTTTTTTTTTTTTTTAATTATTATTATTTATTTTTTTTGCATTACACAGTCCCCGTACTCACTGCGGAGGTTGTTGACAAGCTCTGCGTGGCTGGCTCCTCCGGATTTCCACGCCATTATTAAGCAGACTTTGCGGAGTAAGTAGACGGCAGCTGTCAGTGCTGCGCCTGCGCCAACTGTTCTGCCGAGGAAGCTGAAAACCTCCAGAGCGGACGGCGGAGCGGCGGCTACGTCACCGGGCATCCGAAAACGCGTTTTCACTGCAGCAGCTCGGCCCTCACAAAAAAAACAAAAAAACGCATAACACACTCTTTTTTTTTTTTTTTAAAGTAAAAGCATCAGCTGACGTTAATTGCATTTGCATTTGGAAAGAAGCCACATTGCTTCGTAAGTGGCTTATCAGATTTGCCGCAGTAACATAAGGGAGGAAAAGTCGGCTGAGTTGGTAGTGTGACTCCACTGCGGCCACCGTAGTTACGTACAAAGCAGTAGGCGCGTACACTTCGAGGGTTTTCTCTCATGAGTTGCTAAGCTAATATCCTCAATTGTTTCAGGTGATTTAGACTCGGTTTGACTCTCTCTCTCTCTGTCGCAATGGACAATGTAAACGCTAAATACGTGTCGCAGAAGATCAGTAAGACTCGATGGCGTCCGGTGTCTTATTCCTCTCTGCAGCACGCGGATGTGTTTGCGACTGGCTCGTGGGATAACGAGGTCGGCAGAGTTGTGTGTGAACGATAATAATAATAATAATGATGATATTTATGATGCATCCGGTGAACAACTCCAAAGAAACTATTGTGCATGTGTTAGGATGTTTGCTTATTCGGCAGATTTACTCCCACGAATCGACTTTTTGTAACTCACAAGGTGTTTGTGTGGAGATTCAGTCAGTGCATGAACAAATGTCACATTTACAATAAACTGAAGTCTTTTTTTTTATCATTAAGGCATAAAAACCTGTGTCAGAGCCCCCTTTTAAATTAAAGAGACTGATGGAAATGTGTAATGAATGAAGACACACATTATGGTGTACAACAAGTGGACTCTAGTAACCCCCTGTGTTGTGTCTCTTACAGGACAATAAGATTTCTCTTTGGTCCATTGGGAGTTCTGGCACGGATGATGGATTTGAAGGAGACCCACAGCTTTTATGTGAACACAAGCACGATGGAGATGTTCTGGACCTGCAAGTAAGACTCTTCAGAAGATTATGCTCCAGCATGTTTTATTACAGTGTGTCCTCAGCTTTCAATCTGAAAAAGCCCATTCTGACATTTCTTTAAGGAATATACTTGTCTGTTATTCTATCCCTGATCTGAACTCAGGTTATCTCCAGATGTTGGTCTAATCTCACCTCTGACCTTGTACTTTGTTTTTGTTTTGTTTGTGTTATTGTAGTTTTTGGACCAGGACAGAATTGTCACAGCTTCATCAACTGGAGCGGTCACCATCTTCCGCCACCACCAAAACAGTCAGGTACACACCTTCACTGTGATCTTTTTTCATTTAAATAAAGGATTCACCAGATTGGACTGAAACCCAATAATGAAACTGTCATTTAGGGAAAGATGATAACCATTCACAGCCTGCTTTGGGACAAGTTTTCCATGTTATACCATATATTTTTTTTTTACTCTCTGCTTCACTTTTCAAAAGTAAATTTATGGCAATTCTTGGTCTGCTTCCTCTCTATCTGTGTGTTTTTATCATGCAGAGAAGTACCGGGCAGTATTCTCTGCGTTCTCAAGGCCTCTTTATGCTCTCTGTCCCAAACGCTCGGACAGAAATTGGGACAAGGGCTTTTGGGTATTCTGCACCCTCAGTCTGGAATCTGTTGCAGAGTGTCCTTAAGTGTTTTTAAATCTTAAATGAAAGACATGGAAGCAGATTCTATAGGATGTCGATGTTTTAGCTCGGCTGCTTGAACAACTGAGTCCCAGATATGACTCATAGATGGCTCTACTTTAATCCAAAATGTTGTGCTCTTTGTGTCTCCGTCTGTAACTTTGTGTTTTTGCTGCTGCCTGTCTCGGCCAGGTCTCCCTTGAAAAAGAGGTTTTGAATCTCAATGGGACCAACCTGGTTAAATAAAGGTTCAATAAAAATGTAAAAAAAATAAATGGCTCATTAAATATTCCATGCTTTTTTTCTTCTCTTGGCTGCAGACAATGTCAGTTTCTCAGCGCTGGGAAAGAGCTCATCATTATCCCTGTGATAACGCTCCATGCACTGGCATCGTGTGCAGCACTCCGGAGATCGTTTCAGTCGGTGAAGACGGCAGGATCATCGTCTTCAGAAGCGACCACGAGGGAGTTGTCCGAGTCATAGGTGAGTTTAAGGTTCGACTGCAGACAAAAGCGTCTTCAGGTCAGGTGGGGACAGAGTAATGTGACTCGTACGTTGTTTGTTTAGTTGTTTGTTTTTTTGATTACTTGCAGAGAATGCGGACAGCAGCACGATACACGCGGTGACTTACCTGAGGACGACGGAGATTCTGACGGTGAACTCTATCGGCCAACTGAAGCTGTGGGACTTGAGACAACAGAGCAACTCGCCGTCCCAGATTCTCTCGCTGTAAGATCTCATCAGGTTTTTTTTAATGTTCTGATAGTTTCTTTTTTTCACAATAATAGTTATAAATCATCTATTCATCCATCCATTATATTTTATTTATAAAATACAAAACCCTCCTCCATTTTCCCCATTCCTGCGGGGTCTACTACTCGTCTTTCCAATCTGTTACACCCCCAGGAGACACCTGTCCACAGCTGACTGGAATAAAAATAGCTTTGGTTAAATAATGAAAATAACAAAGAAAGTTATATAAAGAACCTAACAAAGGAAAACACACACACAAAATAAAAACCTGAAATGAGCAGTGAGTCATTCAAATGTGTTATCCCACTTATATTAGTGAAATATGATATAATAGGGCTACATGGTTCACTGAAGTGAGACCTTTTATACCTCAAGGTTTATTTCATCTTTCCTACTTTTAGGTGGAACATGACATTTAAGAACAGTTTTAGGGTCGATGGCGAGCTAGCAGACACTAAAGGATGACTGTATTATAAATATTGACCATTCTATATTGTTGTAGTCTTTGTACAGGGACTCATGCATCATGCAGTTTTTATTTTTTTTATAATAGATGCAATAAATTGTTTCCTGTTCAGGTCAGGGGATAGAGTCCCTCTTCACTGTGTGGACAGACACCCGAACCAGCAGCACATCGTGGCCACAGGAGGGCAGGACGGCATGCTCTGTGTCTGGGATGTGAGACAAGGCAACACACCCTTCTCACTCATGGAGGCCCACTCTGCTGAAAGTAAGACCATATCACAGGCACAATATTTAATTTAAGAAATACATTTTGTTCTTACAGAAGATTGAGTTTAATTTCTTTGTGTTTTCTTTCTTTTTTTTAAACTCTTTCCTGTGCTTTTCTTTAATTCTCTGCAGTGTGGGAAGTCCACTTCCACCCGACCAACCCAGATCACCTGTTCACATGCTCAGAGGACGGTTCTCTGCTGCATTGGGAGGCATCGTCACAGTCAGACATGCCCTCATTCTTACAAGGCAAGTTCTGTCTGCGATTGTTCTGTTTAGCCACAGGGAGGAGGCTAGAACTATTTTCCAAAGGGGAAACTGTTGATACATTGCTGCTGAAAGCTGCTGTAGAATTTAAGAATTTCTAAAAAACAAACAGCAATTTTAATTTAAAAATGGATGTCATGTAAATTATGTATCCCTTTGCAGATTTTTACCAACAACACTATTTCCAAATTTAATATAAAGTCAGGGGCAGCCTGCCTGAAAATCTATAGAATTGAACGTGTGCTTATGTGAAAACAGCTCGAGTTAGTTAACATTATACAGACAACAACATGCAAACACAGCAACATGAATATTTTACAGCAATAACAATACTCCTCTAAAAGTGTTAATGAAATGGTTTAATCATTCCAGGTGGCAGGAACAACAGCATGATATCCCGCAGTGCGATGGCCCCGGCAGGAGGAACCAGTCCCTGATCAGTGCCTGGCTCAGCGGAGACTCCAGTAAAGGTCGCTTGGAAACGACTCACATGCTGCCCAGCCAGACGCTGTCTGTCAACAGTTTGGATGTACTTGGACAATGTCTTGTCTGTGGGACTGATGGAGAGGCTATTTTTGTCAACAGACAGGTCCCAGTTTAAAAGACCTGTTTGTGCAGCGGACAAGAAGTGCACATAGATGTTTAGTGTCATTTTCCGACACATCAGAGGATTCATTGTCATCTTTGATCAGACAGGAAGCCGATAATAAAATTTTGCTTTTTGAAGTTTTGGCTCAACTTGTGTATTTGCCTGTCGTCGTATGTGGCATACACACCCGTCTTGTTCTGTTGCAGTGATGGATTGTCTTGAGTTAAAGCTCCTGTGAGGAGTACTTAACTTGTTATTAAATAGATTTAAATTAATAATTTTGCCTCTTAATGAGCTACTAAAGCAAAAAGGACCATCCGGATAAAGATTTATTTTTAAAGAATGGTATACATGCAGCAGAGCTATAGACACAACCTTTTATTACATTTTCTACAGCAGAGATTCACAGTGAGTTACACATTTGATTGTTAAAAGAGAAGGATGAGATTTGTTAAAAAAAATATTACTTAAGCAGAGGGATAAAAGGTACCGCTTTGTCCATAGGGGGCACAAACAGAAAGTTCATCACAGGAGTTTTAAGATTTAAGTCTTTCAAACAAAGTATTTCAACACAGTCGTACTTTTGCATGAACTTCATTTCAACATTTTTTAAATAAATACATTTTTAAAAACCGTTGCTCCAATGTTTTTTTGGGTTGTTTTTTTTACCATTATTAACCTGCCAAACTAATCAGCTCTCACTTCATAATAAAAATGTACACATTTAAAGAATGGAACATTTACACCACCAGTTCAGTCCAGTAGTTTTCATAATTTGCAGGTCAATAGCATAGACTGTATATTTTAAGGTTTAAACCTGTAAGTATTGAGGTGTTCATATTTAGGTTAATAGACAGTCCAGAGGTGAAGTGAAGGAGGTTGGAGAAAGGTACAAAAAAATATCTAACTTCATCCGGGTGATTTGCTTAAAGTCCCCCTTAATGAACCCCCCCCCCCCCCCATAGCACTTCAGAAATTTCTTTGAAAATAAAAGTTCTTATGTTAGTTTCATAAATTATATTTAACTTAAATCCAATGCCCAGACTAGGATGATTACAGAGGAATATGAATTTCATCTGTTCTCTTTTACATTTATAATTTATTTACCATGTGTAAATAAGTGTTTATAACACGTATATCTGTATTTAAGTGTTGTTATCATCTTGGCAATGTCTTTAAAATCTTAAAATTAAACAGCCTTCCATGCTGCCTCATTTTTTTAACAAAAAAAAAGATGAACTTTTTTACAAGTAGCTTATCAGGAGTTGTATAAATACATTTGTGGTTTACAGGACTGGTTAAAGGTGCACTATGTAGGTTTGGTAGTGAAATTTGAAAGTTGGAGAGGTGATGCAATTCTATGATTTATTTTCTGAGCTAAATAGAAAAGCTTTAATCAAAGGTAAAAAATGGGTCACTAGGAAACTGTTTGGAGCTAAAAAGCAACCAGGAGAGAAACGATTTCATTGTTGCAGGCCCACCACCATAACTTCTCTTGTAGCATTTTATCTTCAAACAGTGTTACAGGGACCAAATGTTCCTCTGAGGACAGTTTGTGTGCAGAGTTATGAACATATACGGTAGCTCAGTCTGTAGGGACTTGGGTTGGGAACCGGAGGGTCGCCTGTTAAAGTCCCGGTGCGGACCAAATATGGAAGTTGGTCTGGTAGCTGGAGAGGTGCCAGATCACTTCCTGAGCACTGCCCTTGAGCAAGGCACCAAACCCCCTCCCCCACCACCAGCTCAGGAGCGCCCGCTGGGGGCAGCTCCGTCACTCTGACATCTCTCCATTAGTGCATGTCCATCGGATCCTGTTTGTGTATGTGTGCATATTTCAGCCTATGTGTGTGTTGCATGGTTAACAGTGTGTCACAGCCTTCCTCCCTCTGTGAGGTCTGCCCCCTCTATGGAATCTTTTAAGTCCCACCTCAAAACACACTTTTACACGTTGGCCTTTGAGCCCTAGTTAGGTTGCTTATACTTCTTTCAAATGTCTGATAATATTATTGTCCAATTATATTGTTTGTATTCTGTGTGCATGTGTGTAGGCAAACATGTATGTGTGAGTTTTTCCTTGTTATTTTTATTTTTGTTTTTTAATCTGTATTGCTCTTGTTTCATGTGCTTTATAAATAAATGTGATTGATTGATTGATTGATAAAAACAGAAATTGATATCAAATAAAGAAATCAATAAAGTAAATCTTGATACCACAGAATATGTACATTTCTCCAACTTTCACATTTCTCGACCAAAACTCCATAGTGCATCTTTTAAAACGATATATATATTTTACATGTATTTTTCTGAAAGTGTCTAATTTTTTTTTCCGTATTTGTTATTGAACATTTGTTTCATTGTTAAATCTGAACCCTGGTCCATTTTTAACCCGCTCGAGTGAGAGGCTGGTTCTCCAGGTTCCTCACGCCAGGACTGACCTGGGGAAAACTGCTTTTAGTGTTAGTGCTGCAAACTCCTGGAACATTTTACAACAGGACCTGAACTTGAGCACTTTTATCTCTTATGGACACTTTAGAAATATTATTTTTAACTGCTCAATACCTGACTGTAACTGTTTTATTTTATTTTAATTACTGACTTATCACTGTAGTAATTTCAAGCTTTTAAATTTTATTTTATTTTATTTTAATTACTGACTTATCACTGTAGTAATTCCAAGCTTTTAAATTGTATTTTAATTACTGACTTATCACTGTAGTAATTCCAAGCTTTTACATTTTATTTTATTTTAATTACTGACTTATCACTGTAGTAATTCCAAGCTTTTACATTTTATTTTATTTTAATTACTGACTTATCACTGTAGTAATTCCAAGCTTTTACATTTTATTTTATTTTAATTACTGACTTATCACTGTAGTAATTCCAAGCTTTTACATTTTATTTGATTTTAATTACTGACTTATCACTGTAGTAATTTCAAGCTTTTACATTTTATTTTAATTACTGACTTCTCACTGTAGTAATTCCAAGCTTTTAAATTATTTCAGTGTATATATTTTATTGTTCTTATTGCTCTTTTATTGATTTTATTTTCTGTAGTAGCTTTATCTCATTTCTCGTTGTTTATAATTTATGCATGTTTTCTCGGCATCATTGTAAATAAAGGTCACCCTCAATGACCTCTCATTTAGAACTTAAATAAAGGTTGATGATGACGCTGAAACTATCTTTATGGAGTTTCTTCTGTTCCGTTTTATTGTTGTAGTTACCGGAAGTGAGTTTCCCATACTGTTTCCGGTTTTCTTCGACTAACTTGTTGCTGTTGTACTTGTCATTCAGACGTCCCAGGAATTCAACGCGACTAGGAGGAACAAAACCACTTCGGCACAACGAGGACATTTTTAACAAGTTAAACCCGCGTCCTTGTCGCCGGCAGAGGTTCCAGAAAACATCGTTTCTTGTATAAATTAGCGGGAAAGTGTCGAGAAACGCGGCGGCTGGTAAGTTATCAACTGAAGCTAACAGCTAGCTACCTGTTGTTGAAGTAGCGTTAGCAGCAAATGGATTCCTTTTAACTCGCAGGGCCGCGCAGAAGCTGCTCCGCTGTTTTTATTCTGTTCTCGATGAAAGACAACAGCGTGCTGCTCATGTGTCGCTGCCTGTTGCTGTTGCTCAAACTACTTGAGATGTAAACTACACCGTAGTTAACGCGTTAAAGTAGCGCTGTGTTAGCTGCAGCTGCTAACGACGCGTTCAAGTGTGCTTGTTTTATGAAGGAATATCTTTCTGTAATGGTGTTTTTCTAAACTTTAAGGGGATTTAACCTCAAAGTAAAATGTTAAAACTCTAAAATCCAACTTCCTTTAACCTCTAAGTTTGTATCAACCCCTATAATTAATAGTCTGACTCAGAATAATCACATTATCTCTGGTGATTTCTCCTCAAACATCTCATTTACTCTGTTTGTTGTCTTATTTCTCACCATGTGTTTTGTGCTTTTATGTCAACAGCATGCAGATGTGAAGTCGAGACAGTGTCTGCCACCCTCTGCTGCTGCCCTGGACTGAGTGCCACCCTCTTCATCCCCTTCACTGTCTTCATACATGCTCTTACATGAAGAGAGGGGAGAAACCCGAAGGATACAGGCAGATGAGACCCAAAACGTTTCCCACCAGCAACTACAGCGGCAACAGCCAGCAAATGCTGCAGGAAATAAGGAACAGCCTTCGCAACTTGTCAAAACCTTCTGACCCTCCGAAAGTGGAAATAAGCGGACCTGTAAAGATGCCACCCGAGGACTCGAGGCAACAGGGGCGCTGCAACAACCCCAAAAACCCCCACCACAAGGCTTTACAGGAGATCCGCAAATCCCTGTTGCCTTTTATAAATGAGCCGCCTTCAGGCCCCGTCAAACACATGATGGAACCCTCTGCTGGATTTGAGGAGGTGAGATTCTACAATCCACTTAGCAGACGCTTTTATCCAAAGCGACGTACATCAGAGAGTAAGAACAACACAAGCAAGGAGCTAGAAAAAAGGGAACAACGTCAGTAAGAGCAAACGATCAGCTTTGAGTCTGATTGGACACACAGGTGCTGACAGGAAGTGACCAGAGGCAAAGCACAACATTGAGGGCAGTTCTTGAGAGCTCTAATCAGTATAGAAACCATCTTATAAGTCGTCGTTATCAAACAAAAACCATCGTCATTACCATCATCATCATCAATAATATGGAGACCATCATCATTAAGTTAGTAGGTATTCATGAAAGAGCTGGGTCTCCACCACCGGGGGGGCGACAGAGGAGAAGAGTCTAGTCAGAGACTTAGGACCCTGATGTGAAGGTTGGATCAGACGCCTTTTATTGGCAGAGCGTAGCGGGAGGGAGTGTAGACCTGGATGAGAGTTAAAGTAAGGAGGAGACGTTTTTGTCGCTGTTTTGTAAGCAATTGTTTTTCGTGTTTATCTCACTTGAGACAGGTTGTTGTGAAGGATTGTGGAAGAATTTCATTCTAAACATAACTCTGTAAGAGAGAATAATCACTAGGAGCACTTTGTGTACGGGAGAATAATTTGAAAAATGAAAAGTATGCAAAGTGGAAAGACCAGGTTGTGTGGATGACAGTACTCAGGTAGTTTCCCAATTGGCAGTGGCCACTTGTTTTGATTCAGTGCCTGAAATTCTGGTATACAATACACAGTCTGCAGGGCAGTTAAAACGATCAACAGGAAACTGTTTTTCAACAGATTTTCTAATGATTACTTGTGTTATTTTTTAAGCATCCACGTGGCCTTTTTACATTTTCTTTGTGTTTTTTATTTGTGATTTATTTTTGGGCTTTTTGTGCCTTTAATGGAGAGATAGGACAGATGATAGAGTCGGAAATCAGGGAGAGAGAGAGAGTGGGGAATGACATGCGGGAAAGAAGCCCCAGGTGGGAGGTGAACCCGGGCCGCCTGCTTAAGACGACAGCCTCCATACACTAACCACTGCGCCACCAGCGCCCCACATTTTCTGTGTGTTTTATCATCTTAATCAAGTCTCATGTGCATGTTAGTGTGAGATTATCTTGGTGAAGTAGAGCAACAAGTGCAGTGCGGTCCTGACTGCAGTCTCTGGAAACAATGATGCTGGTGCCTCCATGCCAGATGTTAAAATTGTAGTTTTAAATGTGTTTGTTTGACTTGTTTTAATCTGTTATATCTGGTTGAGTTTTCAAGAAAGTAATGTACAGATTAATTAATGAATGAAATGATTTTAAATGTATTTGACTTTGTAGACTGAAGGATTTATAAACCGTTTGGTTCAATAATTGATCCTATACAACACTTGTTTAAAGAATCACATCAGAACAAAAACCCTGAATGTTAACAATTTTATTATTATTTTTTAAACCTTTTTAACAGAGTAACAGTCGCGGTATGGGGGCAGTTATAGACTACATGGGTAAAGTAACCTACCAGGAATCGAGGGAACAGATGGCTGGGCCCAACACTACAGGTCTGAAAGGCCCAGGTACGTGACTCTCCTCTGGGAATCGATGCTGCATTTTTTCTTTTATATCCGTCTAGGCGTGTTCATTAAGCCTTGATATTGTATTCTGTATTTGGGACATTTGCTGAAAGAAACTAAAATGCATGCTCATAAAAGAGAATGAGTCACTACATCATGTAAAGTGAGATGTTGACTTGAAATGAGGTACTTGGTTCTAATTCATAATGACAGTATAAGTACATTTTAAGGAAAGACACTGAGGCAGTTTCCACATAAGTGTTGTTTTTTTTTTTTTACAACTTTCTAGTAAACGTTTAACAGAAATGAAAAAAAGCTAAACACAGTGTTCTTGTTACAACCTATATTTAACATCTTAAGTTTTTATTTATTTACTATACTATGGGGTTCTTTGCTAGAAGTATAACTATATGTTCATCACTTAATGTGTCCACAGGAGCTCCTCATATCCAGCAGGCTGTCCTGAGGAGGCCTAGCTGGAAAGGGTCTAAGGAGTCTTTGGCCCCTCGACATGGTGCTCACATGGTGGATGGGATGATGTACCGCTCAGACAGCCCCGGACCACCTCCTGCATTTCCACAGGGTCATCCTGCTAACAACCAGAGGGTTAATCCTCCTCCCCCGCCACAGGCGCGCAGTGTCACACCCCCACCAAACCGAGGAGCAATGCCTCCTCCACCATCTTGGGACAGCAACCCATCAACCAAGCGTTACTCTGGCAACATGGATTACCACGTGCCCCGCATATCTCCTGTACCGCAGGGTGCGTGGCCTGATAGGATCAGCCCAGTACCTGTTGGCCACCAGCCCATCATAATGCAAAGTTCTGGGGGGAATAAGTTCACATTTCCCTCCAGCTGGTCTCAGAACGGCGCCCCTCAGCAGGAGTATTTATCGGGGGGCAGCAGACAGCCTCCTCCACCTTACCCAGTCAACCAGAGCAGCCGGCACAGTCCCACTGACCAGCAGATGCAGGCAGGAGGACCTTCTTCCTCCCCCTCCTATGTCAATGGGGGAAACATCCCTCAGTCCATGTTGGTTCCAAACCGAAACAGTCACAACCTTGACATGTACAACATAGGTCCACCTCAGTCCTGGTCCCAGGCTCCCATGGCCCCCAGTCATTCCCAGTCTTCCCCTGGCAACAGTAGCAACCAGGATCTCTCCCCGTCATGGCAGCACAACATCCCAGTACGCTCAAATTCCTTCAATAACCACCAACTGAATGGCAGACAGACCCACCCAGCCAGCTCCCAACCCTCAGCCACCACAGTCACCATCACTCAGGCGCCCATCCTACAGCCAGTTAAAAGCATGCGAGTTCAGAAACCTGAGTTACACACCGCTGTCGCTCCCACACACCCCCCATGGCTGCAGCAGGCTCAACAGCCTCCAGCTGCACCTGCCTACCAAGAACCTCCAGCCCCTGTGCCTCAGATCCCTGTTGTAGCAGAGGTCCCCAGCTATCAGGGCCCACCTCCTCCGTATCCTAAGCATCTCCTCCAGCAGCAGGCCACATCAAGCCCCCCTGCCTACGATCCAGGGGCCAACAAGCTCAACACAGGCAGAGAGGAGCCAGCTGAGGAAGAGAGCGGAGGCGGTGAAAGCTCCAGAGACAAGACGTCAGAAAGCCCTGAAAGCCTCTCAGCGACAGAGAAGGAGAATAAGCAAATTACGACATCCCCTGTGCCTGTCCGCCGTAACAAGAAAGACGAAGAACGGAGAGGGGAATCAGGAAGAATCGCACTCTACTCCCCACAGGCCTTCAAGTTCTTTATGGAGCAACATGTGGAGAACATCCTAAAGAACCATCAGCAGAGGATTCGCAGGAGAAAGCAGCTGGAAAGTGAGATGCAAAGGGTGAGGATATAGTAACTATTATGTTTCCTCTTTGAACTTAATGTAGTTCACATTTTACTTTTTAAAGGATTCCTTTCAAACTTTCTTAACTTTTTTTTCCTGCTGTCTCGTCTGTATCGTAGCATCTGTCTTAGAGATTGTCTTTTTCATGCTGTTCTCTTGTTTCTTAGCTCTTCTTTCTCTTCCTTCCTTCCCTCCTTGCTGTCACTAATAGCTGATCTGAAAAGGTAAAGGTGTCTCTGCTGTGCTGTTATACAAAATAGTCTAAACATGTCCTGTGAGCTTGTGTTTGCAGCCTAGTGTTGGTATTTAAATACGATACATTCAGCATGCTGCCATGAAGTTAGTGAAGAAAAACGCACGCCACTCCATGACCTTCATCTCACCGATTTTGCATCTTTGTTTTTACCAAAATAATAATTAGCATGTGAGAAAATCACAATTTGTTTACATTTACAGATAATTATAAATGTTTGTTCTCACACTCTCTGGAAATGATTTGGGTTTATTTTCTTGATCAAGGACTCTCCTCACATGAGGGCCTTGTACATCTCCCCTCCCAGTGCTAATCCTCTGACCTTGATCTCGGTATATGTCTAACAAGGGGCTACATGCCACCTTTTATGTACAGTTTTAAATTGTAAATAGCCAATAAATCCCTGTTGACTTAATCCTTTGTTCAGGTGGGTTTGTCTTCAGAAGCTCAGGAGCAGATGCGTATGATGCTCTGCCAGAAAGAGTCCAACTACATCCGGCTAAAGCGGGCCAAGATGGACAAATCCATGTTCAAACGAATCAAGACCCTGGGCATTGGAGCCTTCGGTGAGGTTTGCCTGGCCAGAAAAGAGGACACAGGAGCTCTGTATGCCATGAAAACACTGCGAAAGAAAGACGTGCTGCTCAGGAATCAAGTGGCCCACGTGAAGGCAGAGAGGGACATCCTGGCTGAGGCAGACAACGAGTGGGTGGTACGTCTCTACTACTCCTTCCAAAACAAGGACAACCTGTACTTTGTCATGGAGTACATACCTGGAGGGGACATGATGAGCCTTCTCATCCGGCTCGGTATCTTCAAAGAGGAGCTGGCTCAGTTCTACATCGCAGAGCTCACCTGCGCCGTGGAGAGCGTCCACAAGATGGGCTTCATCCACAGAGACATCAAGCCGGATAACATCCTCATAGACCGAGACGGACACATAAAGCTGACCGACTTCGGTCTGTGCACAGGATTCCGCTGGACGCACGACTCCAAGTATTACCAGAGTGGTGAGCATCACATCTAACTTGCATGACCCCCCCCCCCCTTCAGTACTGAAATGTTATGAACACATCTGTGCAATTAAGACAGTGTTATCAGTGTAATCCAGTTGAAACTACCTGTGAATTTGAGAAGACCACTACTGCTCTCACTGCAAATTTTATATATATAAAAAAAAAAATAGAAGATTTGTGTTTTTTTGTTTTTAAAGCTTTCGAATATTAAAAGCAGAGTTTGTATCGCTTTAAAACAAGTGGTATCAAGAAGTTCTGAAGTAAAACATGTCTTACAACCTAGGAAATTTGTACTTTGTGTTCTTCCTCAGGTGACCATGTGAGGCAGGACAGCATGGACTTCAGTAAGGAATGGGAAGATCCCACAAACTGCCGCTGTACAGACCGTCTAAAGCCGCTGGAGAGGAGGAAAGCCCGGCAGCACCAGCGCTGTTTAGCACATTCACTGGTGGGAACGCCTAACTATATCGCACCAGAAGTGCTGCTCCGAACAGGTACAGTAACCAAAAACTAAAAGGTTTATGTTGTCTTCTATATACCGTATATAAAAGATCTTCCAAAAGCATAAGAAATAAACTTTCATTTCATGATAAACATCATAAAACAGCAAGTTGTTTCATCTACACTTTACTGATCACAAAGCAAACTTTTAAACCATCCTGAGTGTTGTTGTTGTTGTTGTTAATCTCCTGCAGGATACACCCAGCTCTGTGATTGGTGGAGTGTCGGTGTGATCTTGTATGAAATGGTTGTCGGACAGCCTCCCTTCTTAGCGACCACACCCCTGGAGACACAGCTGAAGGTATGTGAAGCACCTGCACTGAAATGTTTTGCATCCTTAGACTTCTTTGTGTCTTAATTTCCTCTCTCTCTCTCTCTCTCTCTCTCTCTCTCTCTCTCTCTCTCTGTGGTTGAACTAGGTGATAAACTGGAAGAGCATGCTGCACATTCCCCCGCCGGCCAAGCTCACCCCCGAGGCGTCGGATCTCATAGTCAAGTTGTGCCGCGGCCCCGAAGACCGCCTCGGCAAGAACGGCGCCGATGAAATCAAAGCGCATCCTTTCTTCAGGAGCATCGACTTCTCCAGCGATTTGAGGCAGCAGGTGGCGCCGTACATCCCCACCATCGCTCACTCCACAGACACCTCCAATTTCGACCCTGTAGACCCGGACAAACTGTGGAGCAGCGACAGTGACAACGAGGACAGCCTCAACGACACCCTCAACGGCTGGTTCCGCAATGGAAAACACCCCGAACACGCCTTCTACGAGTTCACCTTCCGCCGCTTCTTTGACGACAACGGGCACCCGTACAGCTGTCCCAAACCCATCGAGGACGAGGACTTTAACGAGGACGAGGCGGACTCTGAGGGCGCGGTGCAGGAAGCAGCCGGCAGCTTGGCGAATCAGAGCCGAGACCTGGTCTACGTGTAGCGTCGGAGGCCCACTGAGCTGCTTGTACATAGCGGGTTGTTTGAGGGGGTTCGTGTGCGTGTGTGTGTGTGTGTGTGTGTGTGTGTGTGTGAGAAGGGGGTTTCAACTGTACAGCAATTAAATCCTCAAACTTAGGACAGTATGTTTTTAGGAACAGTCTGAAAAGCTCTGCAGTACATCATTACATTAACAGACTTCACATTTTGAATCATGAGTGAACAGAGTTATTTTATGAAAACACACATTTTTAGTATTCTTGGCAAAAATGAGAAGACAACAGACACTCTCATATTTGCACAGAGACTATGAATCTACAGCCTGTGAGCCTAGTCTAGTATAACTCTTGTAATGAACTCAGATTTGTCAGTTTAAGTAGATTTAGCCCGACTCTGGTCTTACATCAGACTTTAGGGCCTCTTGGATACATGTAAGAGGCTTTGAATGTTCTTGTTTCTCTCTGTTAGAGAAGGAAAACATGAGCATCCTCTTCATACACAGTTAGAAATCTCACCATATTAAATTGAATTATCCAAACTCACTGATAGTCATCACCTGAGCAGAGAGTGTTCATAGTATGAAATCAGGTGACAACAACTAGGGCTGGGAATCTTTCTCATGATTCTTGGGGACACAATTCAATTCAGAATCTATTTTCGATTCCAAACTGTTCTGGATTCAAAGTCTATTTTTTTAATTAGTAAATACTTCAGGATCTACTCCAGTCATCTGAGAGACTGGCTGAATTTCTTGCTGCTCCATTTGGCATTCTACCGAGTTAAAGAGCTAGCTTTAGCACTTAGCAGGGAAAAAAAGAAGTTATGAATCGATTTAAAATCTCTGAAAATAAGAATTTCGAGTTTTACATAAAATGATATTTTTTTTCCACCTCTGACGATAACAGTTCAAACATATTAACATTTTTGTATTTGGGTTTTGTGATTCAAGAAAATGTGGATCAGACAAACAAGGATACAAACACATTAATCGATGAGCTTCAGAGGTGTTGGTGGTGAAGTTAGCTTCCTTTGGATAAAGAAAGACGAGCCGTTTCTAACTGATTGGTTTTGATTTGCTCTCCTGATTCTGTCCAGGAAAGCAAATAGATGTGTTCACTCAAAATGTTGGAGTATTACCGGTACTTTAGGAGATGTGCTGCAGAGTTTCAGAGTGGAATAAAATGCTCATGCTCTCTTTTACGACTCGTTGTAAACCCCCTTAAAGCCTTAATTTATTTAAGAGAACGGCGCCTGATGATGCTGATAGTATAGACACTGTATAGAGTGTGGGAATTACATTTATCGGCTTAAAAATCTTAATTTATATTTTAATGTCTGTTGCGATGGGGGATATTTAGTGTTGTGACTCTTAGAAAATGTGCAGGGATAAAAAAAAAAAAAAAAAAAAAAGCTCTAATTATTCAATGCTGTGCCTTTTTTTGATCTTTTTGTTTTGTTCATCTTTCACCAAATATCAAGAGGGTTAATAATAATAAGAGTAGCAGTAGCTGATTGAACTACAGTAGGCTTTTTGTTGTTTTATTTTTCTAATTTATACCTTAAAATGTATTTATAAATGAAGTTGTAAACAGTTGATGTAAATATTTTTCTCCTCCCTCTCTGCTGATTTGTATTTTTTTTTCTTAGGGCAGGCCCTCGTCGGTGTCCACTGTTGCTGCCTAATGTTGATGTGTTGTGTCTCAAGCATGCAATGCACACACACACACACACACACACTAATTTACACCACTCTCTGTAGATTTTATCATTTTTATTATAACTAAACCAAAGCACTAAATAGTTGTTTCTTTGATTTTATTGTGAAAATCCACATATAGGAAACTTTTTATAAAACCATGAAAACCATTTTTTTAACTATCACTTAATAAATCAGAAAAGCCTTCCTTTAAGGAGCCTAACCACTTCATCCTTCACTTTAAACTCATTTGTTGACTTTGAGGAACACAACAGCTGCCTGTTCATTCATGAGTTTTCTCGTGTCTCTGTACTGGTTTAAAAAGTAAAACATATACAAGCTGGAGGTTTGACTGACAGGAGAGGAAACCGCTCTCTATCACGTATCATGAGGATTTTAGAACAGCTGTACTTTAGTTTGTGTTTGTAGGAAAAGATCTCTGAATGTAGCTACAGACTTTATATCGGCGACCGCTGGCATCCTGCACTGGTGTTTGTGTTTTTATTGTAAGAGAGAATTTTTATTTTTGTGTACACTGTTGGGAAGAGGGAAGAGGGTGAGAAATAAAGAATGTAAGAGACGAATCATGTCTTGTTTCCTCACCAACATGCCTGTTTTATTATTAGTATCATTAAGTAGGCAGCAGTATCTGTTGGGAACTGGAGAGATGCCGGTTCAAGTCCTGAGTACTGCTGAGCTGCCAATGAAAAAGGCACCAAACACCTCACTCTGACATCTCTCTTTTAGTGCCTGCCCATAGGAGACTTACTGTGCATGTGTGTGTAGCATGTAACATTTCCCCTCACAGGATTAATAAAGTATAGCTTAGGTAGAAACTGGACCGATATTTTAGATTATTATTATATAATGGGCTCAGATTGATATTTAATTAAAAAAGAAGGAGCCTTAACATTTACTAAAACCATAAAAATGTCAAATATGCAGTTAACACAACCAAAAGTCTATTTGTCTTTTCAGTCAGTGAATGTAATAATGTAATGTATCCTTGCTGTTGTGAGGATGTAGGTGGAAATATCTTTGAAGATCTTAAGACAGAGCTGTGTTGTTAATATTTTGTAGCTGAACTATTCGACAACTAGAGCTTCAACAGAGGAAGCTGAATTCTAAAGTGTCTAAAAGTTAAATACAGACTCCCCTGTGTCTTAAGATGTCTGATCTTAAATAAACTAAAAGATCAAATTTGAATACCAAATATATAAAGTGGAAAATAAATAACTAACATTTTTATTACATTACATGTTCAATTACAGGAACACACTTCATCATTACTGGTGTGATTTATGAAAACTAAAGGTCAACATTTTGATCTACGTGTCACATACTTTAAAGTAACATTGTGTTCTTATGATTCCCACACGTGATGGTCTACAGCTGTGCCTCTGACTACATATTGTACATCAGTTTATGGATTTAATATTCCCTTAACTGTAACACTTTACAATATTTATCATCCTCATGATGTTATAAATAAATAAAGAGCCTGACTCTGAAGTGTATATATGTGTCCCATGGGCTGCTGTAACGTTAAATATGTTTATTTTTCTTTCGGGAGGGTCTGTCCTCCTGATTTTTTTTTTATTTAAGCCTGTAAATCTCAAACATCTGGACATGGACTGATTATTAAATTTAAATTATACGACCCCATGGGACGCTTAAAAAGTGCAGATTTGAGTTAAAAGGTCCAAGTGAGCAATATTTTAACCTTAATAATAAAATATACTTCAGATGTGATGCGCATGCTTAGGATTTGCTTCTTTTTTTTTAGAAGGTCTTTTGAGGTTGAATGACCCTCAGCAGCAGCCAAACTGCGTGATGACTTACAGCTGGTGTTACACCCTGTGGCCACCAGGGGGCGCCACACAGCCATAGTGATACAGAAGATAAAAACACTTCTCTCTCCAGTGAGCAGCAAGGTTTAAAAGACCCAAAGTACTTCAACTAAATAAAGTAAATTAAACGATATTTACAGAGCAACGAAGACATGTACTTTAGTGTTTTAAATTAAAATGTGGTCAAACAGCAAAGCAACTAAATTATTATTTTAATCAAAATATCAAATTTTACATCCTTGGTTGTGTATAACCCTTCTCTCTGAGGAGCTGCCTCACCTGTTCACAGCTGCCTTTTGTTAAATTAAGTTAACTAACATACATTTAACTATATTACATTGCTCTATAAATTGTTTTTTTTTTTACTATTGTCTTGCTCTGAGCTTCTTTTTTTGCTGGAATTATTTGATCTCTGGAGCATCATTTTTGATGTTTCTTGTTCTATTTGTCATGACGCCTTTGATGCCTTGTTGCTGAAATGTGCTATAGAAATACATTTGCTTTACTTTGCCTTTAATTCAGCTGAATCTCAACCAACCAGATCACAAAGTTCAGTGGGTGAATAAAAAAAAAAGTACTGCTGTATCTTAAAAGTGTCTGGTAAAATTTGAGAATCGTGCCTCTAGTGATTTTAGTCTACAAATTGTCTCTTTGTGTTACTACTCCACAGTGAAAGTGTGTCATAAAATCATGACTTGAGTGGAATTTGGATCAGAGGATGGATTATTTATGAGATATGGGAAAATGTTCCTGAGGCGGACGGTTTGGTTTTCCAGTTGATTATTTGTCCAGACTGTGACGTCACGGGACAGTGAAAGGTCTCTTTATAATCACTGAGTACTTTCTAAATAGATTAACTGATTTCTGAGTTTAACCTCACACCAGGGTTTAATCAGACACTTGATCCAATGAAAAGTCGGGACTGAAAAACATTTGAGATCTCTCGTGTGAATTTAATATCTGTAAAGATGGTAAACCTATATTTTGTTAAGCTTATTGTTCATGGTCTTGAATTTTCTCACATTCTGCAACTTCACTTTTTGATCAACTTGTGCAGTCTTAAAACAAAAACGAGTGAGAAGTTTTCTCACATTATTAATAAGAAATAATGTCGTCAGTGACAGAAGCATTAGCTGCAGCCTAACAACATATTTTGACCATTTGAATTTCTACCTTAGACCCTTTTGTTGCTGAGATATTCTCATTATAAATAACTGGTCGTTAAAGACGCAGTGTGTTGGATTGGGGGTCCTCTAGTGGTGAAGTTAGAGATTGCTGCCACCTAAGAATTGCTCCCCTAACTCTGTTCAAGATTCAACGACCCTAAAGTGACCCAAAAAAACTGTCTGGAGTCCTCTTCTGGAGCAACTCGTGTTTATTATCTTAGACTAAGCATGAAAAAAAGAAGTAGGAGAGTAGGACATCAAACTGTCACATTGAAAAGAAAGAATCCTGCACACTACGCTTGACAAGCATCTCCAATTTATTAGAAAAAATGTTGGTGATTCTTGTTTTTCTTTTTTTATCTATTCTTGCCTGCAGTGTTTATAATGTGTAACTATAATATGTTTTTTTTTTAGGGGGAAATTGTCAGTACAAACAAAAATAAACTACAACCTTTTTTAATTCTTCTAAATAATCTGAATGATTTTCAAAAGACAATTGAGCACTAAGGGTTTGCAGTCTGAGTGTAGAAAAACGTCCTGAATCTTACTCTGTTATGAATCTGAGATGTAAAGCCAAAGGGAACGTGGACAGAGACATGAAACTCCACACTGAACATCATTGAGGACAAAACAAGTTAACTTAAACAAGCTTATTTTTAATGGATCTGCAAAACTGTTTGAATTTCCAAAGAGAACTTCTGTACCTCCCGCCCACAGTTACCCAGTGGCAAACGTTACACAACGTTACAGAAACGCTTCCAACCCACAGAAATCTGCATGCAGGAAAAAAAAACAAAAAACAAAACAAAAAAACCCAAAGAGGGGAAAAAAAATAAAATAAAATAAAATGAAAGAAAAATAAATCATACAGATAAAAATAAAACATCAATAAACAGGACATACTGTATAATGCCATTCTCTTGGCTGGAGGAGAAATTCAAACGCTTCTGCTTCGGCTCAGCTTCCTCGACATCGGGAGCCTGAGCCGACAGAATATTGAACTGTAATTTCATTGGGTGGATGTGGCTCCGCCCACCACACAGCCCCGCCCCTGTCTTCCATATAAGGCACAGGACAAAATAAACCCCCACATACAAAAGGAGCTAGCCACGCCTCTGTCACTTTGTAACAAATTGTAAATGACCCAATACGGTTAGACAACAGAAACCCCACTAAAGTGTACAAAATGTTAATCCTACGTTTGTCTTTTTTCTTTGATTTTCTTCGAGTTTGATTTCCTCCCACTTGAAGGTGAGTGCTGTGGCTGGGGTGGGGAATGGGGGGGGGGGGGGGGGGGTTTAAGGGTTCAGTGAGGCTGTCCAACAAGGTGAGCTCAGGCAAAGGAAATATTAAAAATATGAGCTTGTCTTTTCTTTTTTTTCTGTTTTTCTTCTTTTTTTTTTTTACAACCTTTAAAACAAATGACAAGAAACGTGACTGGATTTCTCTTTTTATCAGAAATAAAAATGATCATCAGATGGAAGGATTGGAAGAATATGGGTGGGTGTGGGAGGAGAAGAAGGGAGGGAGGGAGGGAGGGGGGTTAGACAAGTGAAGTGGTTTATTGTTTTTATTCTGATAAAGAGACAGACAGAGAGTGTCAGTGTGCAAGAAAACTCATGAGACAGGTTAGAGAGCGAGAGAGAGAGTTAGAGTTAGCAGTTAGAGAGAGAGAGAGTATGTGTCAGAGTGTGTGTGCATGTGTGTGTCTGTGTGTGTCTGTGTGTGTGTGCGTTAGTGTGAGTGAAACAGAGGAGTAGTTCAACTGCAGCACTTGTTCTTCCAGCCTGGGACTCCACTTCCACCGCTGATGTCGACGTTTTCACTGTTGGGCTCTTTTACAGGCGTCTGGCAGAGAAAACACAAAACACGACTTAGTAAGTCATGAAACTTAACTAAATCATCCTCTGTTAAACACAAAGGCACGACAATGTGTTTAATACTGTCTACATTTAGGGCATGTATAGAATAGAGATTTTTCATAATTTGATGTATCCTATATTTTAGCAGTGAGGAACAGTTTAAAATGATGGCATGGCAAAAATGTCTGTTTCAATGATTTCACATCTTCAAACAGTTACAAGTTAATTCCCTCAGTAGTTATGGGTGCTGCAACTCTGAAAGCAGTTCTTTCCCCATTCAGTCCTAAACCTCAGTATTGTCAAAGTAATCCAGTTTTGAGATCACATTGAAAGGCTTCACTAGTTAACAGACAGAAGAGTAGTCAGGTAAGGAGTGACCAATGAGTGACCTGTAAATAAAACACTGTGCTGCCCAGCGAGGTCCGGCATACAGATCCATACAGATCACAATGATGAGTTTGAAACCTCAGTTGGACTAATTTGTTTAATTCAAATGTAAAGGTCCAGTTTTAGTCGGACTAACACAATCAATCGACATCATGCAAACTGACTGTTTGGTTGATTTTGTTCCAACAGAGTTAGTGAAGCAAAAAGTCAGATACATTAACTGTACATCTTTTCACATAACCAAAACAGAAAAGTTTGCTGATTGTTTATACTTAGTACCATACACAGTGAAGTTATCTGTGCCAGTTGTCCAGCTTGAAATGCGTGTTGTTGTTTTGACATCAAAGTGATTGGGATGTACTTTTCAAAAAGTGTTTAGTCATGATGCCATGACAAAGTGAAACACATCACAGTTTCAAGCTGCATCCTTCATTGAACGCACACATTAAAGTTCAGTCTACTAAATGAAAAGTGTACACACCTTTCTCAGGATGTCTTCTGCTAACGTGAGGAAAGCCTTCTCGATGTTGATGTTGGCCTTAGCGCTCGTCTCAAAAAACCTAATGCCGTGCTCCCTCGCGATCTGTGGAGGAGAAATCAGAGTCAGAACGAAGAGTTCAGCTGAAGAAGCTCCGGTCCAAAAATAAAGTGACTGATCCTCAGCGCAGGACACAGATCAGGTATCCCCAACACACACACACACACACACACACACACACACACGTACACACACACTTCCATTCTAGTGAGGCAGGTGTGTGTATGTATGAGTACGCAGATCTGGATCCGATGTTGCTAAATCTGCAGATGGCCCTGTCAGTGCTTCGTTCCCTCTGGTAAAATGAGACACAGATTCTTAAAGGCACTGCACACACACCAAGATGTTTCCACGACTGGAGAGGTAGATTTATCCCCAATGAAAGATGGGAGCAGCTTTACTAAATGTTTTATTGTACAGTGACAGAATCCGAGGTTTAAACAAAGGTCATGATGAGGAAGTGACATCACTGAGGAGTCCCCATAGTCACTCACACCAGAGGGGGAAGAATACTCGTCCACATCTGGACAAGGTGCATCCACATGGAGGAAAAATTAAAAAATCCTACTTAAAAGCGTTGCACTCTTGACTTTATTTCAGCGTGGTCACAATTAATCAAAATCAAAAGTGAAATTGAATGTGTGAAATATGTCTGTGGTTGTTCCCCGCTAGCCACAAAACTACGCTACATAAACAAAAAAAATTACTGTGGTAGACTCACCTGCTCTCCCTTGGCTTTTGGGACAACCCTCTTGTCCTCCATGTCACACTTGTTGCCTAGCAGCATCCTCTCCACGTCTTCATTTGCATGCTGAAAAAAGATTCAGATAAAAAATTATTACTTTACGTTTCACATAACAGTTACATCACACACGACTGTGTAGATATGTTTTGTTCCGCGCTACAGGTGCATGTTTTGTTTTTTCTGAAACGGTCACTTCTGTAACAAGTTCCCACACTGAAACACACACACAGACAGACACACACACAGACACACACACACACACATAGAAACAGATACAGAGGAAATGAGCAGGATGTTTTCAAAGATTCTGCAGGGAGCAGAGAAACAACTCAAGTCTTTGTATTTAGTTTGGCACTTTGGAACTCATTGCATCTGTCTATTTACAGAAAACCAGAATTGGTTTGTAAAACTTTTAAATATTTGTTTTGGATAGGACAATGGATGTATTGGAAAACATAGACAGAGAGAGAGAGAGAGAGAGAGAGAGATGTTGAAAATAAGTCCCAGGTCAGACTTGAACGCCTGCTTCAGCCTCTGTACATGGGGTGCGACCTAACTAACTCTTCTACAATAACTCTGTATTCTTATCAAGTCATTTAGGGATACATTTAGCTATTTCTTCCAAAAACAAATGGAGGATTATAAGGAGTCTAATGATCTTCTGACCCCTCAGATTTATCTTCAAAGCCATAAGACACAAAAAAGCATATGCAAGTTCCAACAATATTTCTTATTAGTAGATTTTTGCATAGTTTTTTTAAGATTTAAGAACTAAATACATCTTAAGAGACAGAAATAAAGCGTGTGTGCAAGAGCAGAAAAAGCATGTAAAGGAGAGACTAGAGTTGAAGTACAACATAAATTAATACGGTTTGTTAAAATTAGACAGCTGATGGTTAATGCTGTGGCTACATATACGAAACCACTTCTGGTGTGGCTGTGCAGCCGATTGTTCACAATGAACAGATACACCTGCAGCACACACAGTGAGGTGTTGTGGGAACACAGGCAGCTGAAGACGGTTAGCTTTCTCTTAATTAAAAGTTACAATCACAGGGCTGGACCTGCCGACTAAACATACAGGTTCATTTATAAAGTCTATGAAGAAACATGTCGCTCCACCTTCTCCATGTGGGGTGTCAGCTGCTGTCAGAGGGCTGGAGACAGTGATGTGATAAAAGGAGGTTGGTTTTGTTGGGGTTTTTGGACATTTTTAGATAGGGCAGCTGAAGAGAGAACGGTCATGTTGGGAGGAGAGAGTACGGGAATGACATGCAGCAAAGGGCCGAGGTCGGATTTGAACCCAAGGCCGCTGTGATGAGGACTATTGCGCCTGTACATGGGTTGCGCGACATTAGCGATAGGCTATCCGGCACTCTTAAGTAGCTTTTGATTTAAAGGCTGAAAAAATGACCCAAATAACATAAAGTATGATTGTTTGATGAACTCCCTTCCAGGACTCCCTGAGTGAAAAGATTTGGTCTCGATGAGGTCTTCCTAACCAAATAAAGTGCAAATCAAATCATTTTTGAGAACCTGAACAAGGGATTGTTTTCCAATGTTGTATAAAGACATGACTATTTGATTGTGAAAGTAGTGGCTTATTGGTTTTCCTTTTCACAAACTTAACAGAAAGGTCAGTAAACAACACTGAACATACTACAAGCATGCCACCCTCCAAGGAACAGAATTCCCTGTGTCCTATTAGCCCAGTGAAATCAACAACACGCTTCGACATCAGCAGGGGAGAGTTCTTAGTTTGCAGGAAATTCATTGTGTTTCCTTTCCTCGACCGGACTCAAAGCTCTTTAACACCGAGGGTGAGAGAAAATTACAAGAAAGCGTTCCAGACTAAACCCAGAGCCAGGCAGTCTCACCTAATCGGCTTCATTTGATGTACAACACCTTCACACTGATCAGGTGACAGATCATTACATCGGACTGTGCAGCCAGAGATAACAGACGGATCATGTGTGTTATTTATGTGATGTGTTTGATGGTTGGCACAGATCCAGAAGATTACACACATAGATGAATAACTGGTTTGATGGAAGAATAAAACACAAATCGAAGAAGCCAGAAGCTAAGAGACAGCAAGAACTCTCCACAAAGATGTTTCTACTTCAACCAAAAGGTGAGCGGACAGCTCGTCTGATTTATCTCATAATCACCTCATGATAATATTTATCTTATAATTACCATACTACTATATGAAGTATCTGGCCTTTAGGAGCCATTCTTCTAGACTTTGATATGATAACAGTAAAAACAAAACAATCTCGATATCCATTTGGATAACACCGCAACAAAAAGTGAACTCCAGGGCAGCAAAACTTACAACCTTCACACAGTGCTGGTACAGAAGAGATCACTGAACTTATGACTACATTTGACGTACTGTTAATAAAAGTAGTACAGTAGTACATTAGTAGCATTGCAAATTGGGGGCAGTGGGTGGCGCTACCAGCTGGCGGTCTGTAGGTCAAGTCTTAAAGAAAACATTGCATTTCACAACTTGTTTTCTCTTGTTATCGAGTGTATTGTAAAACTAACATTGACTGATTTGTTTGCCGCGTCATCACAGCGGCTGTGGGTTCAAATCCGACTTCGGTGCTTTGCTGCATGTCATCCCCCACTCTCTCCTCCCAAAACTTCCTGTCTCTCTTCAGCTGTCCTATCTGATAAAGATACCTGATAAGTGGTGCTGAAAACAACCAATTATTGATGTTTTTGACAATCTTACTCTGTTTTATGTGAAAGTATTACAGACAGAAAACGTGGAGAGCAGCTGTGGGACAGAATACAGTACTGTAAGACTCGTGCTATAAGACGTGAAGCAACCCAGGAAGAATCAGACCCATGGAGATCTGACACTCAGTCATTTGTTCAAAATATACCAAGAAAAACTTTTACACATTTACCACACATGACAAATTTATTGGACAAAACAAGTGCAACGGGAAGCCAACATTTTAATCTCAAGTTTTGAAACTTGAGTGGATCACCTGATGTGATAACCAAATATCAAGTGAAACTTTTCAAAATGTAGGCAACGTTAACAGAGCTTCTTAATGAGCTGAGGAACATTGTCAAAAGAGCAGAAACACACAAAAAAACAAAGCTCGGGACAAGTCGCTGTGTGTATCAACAGAGGAGAGGTGAAGGAATGTGTGTGTTTAGATAAGAGAGTAAGATGAGCAGATTAATGTTGTTTGTTACACGCACTAAACTGCCTTAAAGAATAAAGCACAAGTAATATATAGATGGCATTGATGAGTGAGCATGTTTATCAGATTATCCATAATGCACATGGGAGCCCTTCCAGTACACTGGTATACTGGCACAGGTAATTTGTCTAACTATACAGCCTGTAACTTGAGAGTAAATGAAAGGCTGGTTTTTGCATGATTTTGAATATAAAGCTTCCTAAGGAGTTGGACAACACATAAAATGTAAACACTTTTATATCAAATTAAATCTCATTTACTTATCACTCATAGTCTGAATTCAAGATTAATATTTCTTATTATTGATATGTGGCTTTTATTGAACAACAACAATTTCAATGTGACTGGGCAGGTTGAGTCTATCAGCTGCTATTGTTTACTGGAGATTAAACTAATGTAGGTTGTAAAAACAACACAACCTCCTGTTCTCCTGCAACAAGCCAGATGCACACAGACATCTGGTTCATCTGTTGTAGTTTAGTCACACACGCCTGCTGCAAAGCTCACTGCACACTCATCATCCAGCTAGTTAGCAAAGCTGGCTGCGTTCCCTCACACTATTGATGTCACTCTGTCAATATGCCAACAGTAAGCAGTGGATGAAAAAAAGGGAGTGCCGACACTCGACATTCACGCACACATCCTCATAACATCAGACCCAGGAAACACAAGTCAGAGTGTGTGAGTGTGTGTCGTTTACCTCGTCAATGTTACGCAGCCATTTGCTGATGTTTTCGAAGCTCTTGGCGTTGGTGATGTCGTAGACCAACATGATGCCCATGGCTCCTCTGTAGTAGGAGGTGGTGATGGTGTGGAACCTCTCCTGGCCCGCTGTGTCCCTAAAAAGCAAACAAAAACAAACACATTCTTTTTATTTTTTATCTTGTTTTGAGTCCAAGCCGATTCTTCGAGGAACATAACTTCAGTTAACTCCGATTTTAACTTAATCAAAACATTAACTGAACTAAAGTATCAGCAGGTTTTACAGAGACGTTTGTCTACAGCAGTGACTCGATGATTACTTCACAACATGTTGGGACTCGTCACTTTCATCGACAAATCACCACACATATCAGCAACAAATGTTAAACATCTAAATTGCTTTCTTGGCTCAACAGAGTCTGTTGCATTGTCATATTTAGCTTATAAATAAAATGTCTTATCTGTGCAAGGCATGCTTACTCCCAACAGTAAAATGAATAATTTGTATCAGCTTCAGGCCAGTTTTGGTTTAGAAATCAGTCAATATCATTGTGATGACATTCCTGTGCTTGTCAAAAAAAAGGGCCGATAAAAATTATGAAAATATTTAAAGTGCCATGAGCCCAGTTCTTACTCTGAGCAGGAAGAATATCTTCTTTGATGCCAAATTTAATTTGAAAAATATTGTTGTTGTGAGCATTAAAAGTTGAACCTGGTGAGGGTTAAATTCCACTTCAGGCAAACAGCGTCAGCCGTGACTTTTGCCTATCAGGGGAAACCCTGCCAACACGTATTTATCAGTGTTGATAAAGAGGAAGTGAGAAAGCCCAGGAGCACGAGCACCTACGTTTAGAATAGTTGTTTCACTATGACGTTGAAATAATAGCTGGTTGAAAAGTAGGATTTTATTGATCTGGTGAACATGAAAACATCTCCAGGTGCTCGGGTTGAAACAGTGAAGATTAAACAGAGACATAATGTGCTTGGACAGGAAGAGGAGAAAATGTAAATTGGAGTGAGGTCGAGATACATCCAAGACACAGAGGAGGTTTAATGGACAGCATCAGGATGAATGTGATCGAGTTTCAGATCCGGTCAGAATCATGGCTGAGTGCCAGAAACCTTATTCTGAAGCTAAATGATGTGAGACGTATCCTGGATATAATTGCATGTGTGCAGTCTGGAGAACAAGCTCTAATAAGGCTTGTACAAACTAGTAAATTACAGATGACACTCTATTCATTAATTAAGTAAATGAAAACTGGGAAAAAAATAAGGTTGAGCACGAATTTGGCATTTAAGTCTTTTAGGGGAAGTTCTGGTGCTACAAAGATTAAAACAGAGACGAACACGATGTAACTACCTTTAAAAAGTTCAACAGAATGGCTAACGAGCTTCGACAATTAATCAAAGGATGCTACCTAAATTACTGATCATTTATTTGTTAATTCAAGTTAAGACGTGCCAATTACAAACCCACAGTGCAAAGGGTTACAGAAAATGTGTTTATTCTGTAAACCAGCCGATGTATTATAGAGCCTCTGATAGAACTGTAAGACCCTCACATAGAAGACGGTGTAGCTGTGTCTGTAAGACCCTCACATAGAAGACGGTGTAGCTGTGTCTGTAAGACCCTCACATAGAAGACGGTGTAGCTGTGTCTGTAAGACCCTCACAAGAAGACGGTGTAGCTGTGTCTGTAAGACCCTCACATAGAAGACGGTGTAGCTGTGTCTGTAAGACCCTCACATAGAAGACGGTGTAGCTGTGTCTGTAAGACCCTCACATAGAAGACGGTGTAGCTGTGTCTGTAAGACCCTCACATAGAAGACGGTGTAGCTGTGTCTGTAAGACCCTCACATAGAAGACGGTGTAGCTGTGTCTGTAAGACCCTCACATAGAAGACGGTGTAGCTGTGTCTGTAAGACCCTCACATAGAAGACGGTGTAGCTGTGTCTGTAAGACCCTCACATAGAAGACGGTGAAGATGTGTTTCTTTCTCTGGATATGATTTGTAATTGGCCTTGAAGGAATAATCTCCTGTCTGCTGAGGAGCTGTTCTCTTTATTTTAAAAATGCTGCTTTATCAATAACAGTTTTGTCTTCAGACCTTGGGAAATTTGACCAACAATTGTGAGACATTCTCAGCACATTTATCATCTTTCACATTCAAAAACACTGGGAATTTGTTCTACCACAACAACACTAATTATCTCATTCTTTATACCCAGTTTTATTTTGAAACTCACATTGCAGTGACATGGGTCACTGTAATTGTTTCAGCATTGCATGTTTTGTCTTCAGACCTTGGGAAATTTGACCAACAATTGTGAGACATTCTCAGCACATTTATCATCTTTCACATTCAAAAACACTGGGAATTTATTCTACCACAACAACACTAATTATCTCATTCTTTATACCCAGTTTTATTTTGAAACTCACATTGCAGTGACATGGGTCACTGTAATTGTTTCAGCATTGCATGTGTGAATGTTTGCCATTTCGGCTTGTCTTTTATGATAGTTCATTGAATATCTTTGTGTCGGGGATTGCCATGTTGGGGGCGCCGGATAGCCTAGCAGTTATGTTGCGCCCTGACAGCCGAGGCTATAGTCCTCTCTGCAGGCCGCGGGTTCAAATCCAAACTCGGCCACATTGCTGCGTGTCGTCCCTCACTCTCTCCTCCTAACATTTCCTCTCTCTCTTCAGCTGTACTATTCAATAAAGGCAAAAATGTCCCTTAGAAAAGAAGGATTTCTTTGATGTTGACAAAGCCATTAGATCATTTCTGGTCATACCAAATGAATTCATAAATCAGCTTAACATTTAAGGAATTTAATGAAATGCTTACAAGTTTCAGTCCAATATGCAATCTCCTAAACTCTCACCTTTAAACCTAAACCATGTTTTTGTGCAGAAAATATTTTTCTCAAAATTTCGTTTGAGAAAGTCAGTTGTTTTGGACTACAACAATAAGCCTGCAGCAAAGCTCCTGATGGACTGATGACCATTTCCTGTTCTAACATTTTTCTGTGCTTGAGGGAGGCATGTCAAACAGATGTTTCCCTATGATGTAACAACCCATCAACAGAGGAGAAATGAATGGAAAGACATCTTTTTTTAAAGCATTGGCATATTTTACAGTCCGGTACCTCTTTATGTCAAGTTGGGAAACAAACTACAAAGTAACTTTTTAAACATTTCATTCACTCACCAGATCTGTAGTTTGATCTTCTTTCCTTGTAATTCAACAGTTTTGATCTTGAAGTCTATTCCTGTAACACAAAAAGAAGACAATAATCAACAAAAGCACATAAAGTACAGACAATTAAAGGTGCAGATGAGCAGAAAAATAACAGCTGACGTAAATAAAAAGGAGGAGAAAAAGAAGATATCACCAAAAGACACAGGACGGACATTTATGAGGGAGTTACAAGTTTTCTCATCACACAGACAATAACAGTATCTCTTCCTGATTCTGCAGTGTCATGCCCAGACCTGGAGCCTATCAGCACACAACTGTGGGATGAGCAGCCGTGTAACAATGGGCACAGACGCACAAAAGAACCAGGTTACCGAGAGCAATTCAGGTCCAGACATGAAAGCTGAGAACAAGTTGAAATATACTGATATGACCCTGTCACTGTAAAAACCTGTGCGGACACGCGGTTGGTTAGAAACATGATATTGCACATATTTAAAGTGTATTAGTCATATCCAATGTTTATGCCTTCAGGGTTTCATTTGTGGTTGGAAAAGATTTACGGTGCAGTATAAACTGAACTTCTTGGTGTATTAGAGGGAGAGTTAAATCACAACAAAACTTTTACATGACACTAGTAAAAGCAGGTCTATGCTACAAGTGGGAGTCGCAGGGTAACTCAACATGATATGCAATACGTGGCTCACGAGAGCTTTAACTTCACAATACAGTGATTCTGTGATACTTAATACAATGACAGCAATAGCAAAAGGATGCATCACCATATCTGATTAACTGAAGAATGTAAAAGGTCCCTAAAAGGTGAAAGTGAAGGATTAATGTTTCTATTCCAGGCAAGTTGGTGTTTGGTTTCTTATCAGGTCTTCATCCTTTAACTTCTTTTCACCCCCGACATCATCCTGTTGTCTTCAGTTATCCCGCTGTCAGCTTCATGTTTGGCCGATTAATGTCTGTTCATGTTGTAATTTGTTAAAATTATTTAAGTTTTTAACATCACTGTGAACAGTTGCAGTTGGTCAAATTGCCAGGGAAATCTCTTCAGAGCACCATTTAAAAAACAACAACTAAAATATCAATAATTTGATCCAGCATTTAGATAATTGTACCACAAGAGTCAGGACGATAATATATTGCTTTAGGTATCGAGCACCATTTAAAAAACAACAACTAAAATATCAATAATTTGATCCAGCATTTAGATAATTGTACCACAAGAGTCAGGACGATAATATATTGCTTTAGGTATCGATACTTTGTCCCTGCCCAAGTTTGTGATGTACTTTTATTCAAATATGTACTGAAACTCAACAAATTCCAGGACTAGGAAAATTAACTCTTACGCTAAGCTAATTATGTTTAATATATCTTTGTAGAATCAGTTAATCTTTTTGATCAAAACATTTTGAATAAAAAGGAAAAATGATGATTAACATTTTCCAGTGTATTCAATTTTTTTTGTATCTGACTTTCAGTCCCAAAGTCAAAGATATTCCAATATAACTGGATTACCTAAAGAACTGCAAAATCATTTTACTGTTGACTGTTTGAAAATGTATTCAAAACATACCGGTAACTGAAACTCGATGATGAAAACAATAATTTTCAAACCTAGAATGATATAACAGGGGATTTTACTTTCTAGCAAGAGTGATAAAGAAAGAAAAAACAAGGTACAAAAGTGAAACTACAACAAATAATGTGAATCAGGTTCATAATACTCATTGTCAAGTTTGGGAAGCCCCAAAGGAGGCCACGTTGAAAAAGGGGTGACTCATACTGAAACATTTTGGCCCGTGTTTTCGACTTTAATCGTGAGCTGTCGGTTCGGCTCTGGCCAGAGACTGTAGATGGTTAAAAAGTCAAAGAAACAGCTGTGCTCTCTAGGTGGGGCAGTCATATAATAATGAAACACAGGCTGCCAAGGTGTGACTCACTGGATATTATGCACTCCCCAGAGGAAGGGAGGGAGGGAATGACAGGAAGATGTATAGTTAGCTAACAAAAAAGAGACAAGGGGGATTGTGGAGACGAGCTTACTACGTTTACAAACACCTCCAAACCAACAACAGAGTTACCTTTTTAATATTGTTGATGAAACAAAGATATGAAGGGGTTGAGGTTTCCTGACAGTTAAAATGATACGTCTCTCAAAGATCAGACTCGGGGTGCTGGTGGCTTAGTGGTTAGTTTGCACGCCCCATGTACAGACTACAGAAGCTACCGTCCTCAAAAGGGGGCGACCCCGGTTCGAATCCGACCTGTGGCTCCATTTCCACTGTCCTCTCCAATAAAGGCACAAAAAGCTCCAAAATGTCTTGAAATCAAAAAAAGGATCAGACTCCACAGGGATGACATAATATTTGTGTGTTCCAAGTGATGAGTAAAAAAAAAAATGTTTCCCTGATGAGGTTCTCTGGCAAGTTGTCAAGAAAATATGTGTGTTGTGTAATCACACACAAAGCCAATCACTGGAAAAATGGGGCCACTTATCCGGAGGAGAATGACACTTTCTATAACAGTTAAAAGTTGAATTGGACACTTTAAAAAAGAGGGAGTACATGGTTTATGGCCGGACCCGATCTGCTTTCCATCCCAGAGGAACCATTCCTTCCACAAGTATGAATTCCACTGCAGCCAGTCGCCAGTTTCCATGCAAAATTCATGGCGTTTTGTCGAGAAAGGGATTTCAGATCACAACATCATGCATATTCAGCACTTCATTTATGCATAACCTCTCATTTACAAGGAGAAAGGACGGAGAGAGTGATTGGAAATGAGAAGCTGATGAGAGAGAGAGAGAGAGAGAGAGAGAGGGGGGGGGGGGGGGGGGGTTCCGGTGGGGGTATTTTGAGGAGCAGCTGTGCATGTGTGTCTCTAAAGGTATGAGTGCTGTGTCAGAGAGGAAGAACACACTCTTGTTTCACACGTCCTGGTTCTGCTGGTTCTTTACAAACCTCTGTTTCGCTCTTGGACTTTCCAGCTCACACTATGAGGGCTCTAACTGTTTATGTCTCAGGCTTCTTATAAGGTGAAGTGTTGGATTTATGCAAGCTTTGATTTTGGATTACAGTTATCCTGTACGTTTTGTACTTGCTGCACGTCATCAGCGCTATGATGGATCTACCTCAGGGGTTTGTTTCGTTGACTAAACAAACAGTAGTCGAAGCAAAAACATTAACCACTTTTTAGCCCAAAAATGACAGAAAGAAATATGACACAGCTGATCATGGAACAGGAAAAGCTGGGTTTATATCCCATGGAACAGAAACAATTAATAATAATTATCTGTTTGAGTAATTTTTTAACTAAAAAAAGTTCAAATTGTGATCACAGCCTCTAAACTGTGACTATTTTCTGGGGTATTCGCTCCTCTATGGTGGTGCAGCCGTCTGCTAATTATATATAATTACAGCCTAACAACAACTTGATAAGTAAATGAGTTGATCTAAAAATACATTTAAAAGCTATTCATTTGACAGCTGATTGATCATTAAGGAATTCTTTAAATTAAGACAAAAAACGAATCTAATTTGAGCCCCTCGATGATTATTTTATGTTTTGTACATTGGAAAATTACTCATTTTCAGCCATTGATACGATACACTTCATTGTCCCCTTGGGGGAATTTGTCTTGGACTCAACTGGTCTGACAAAACAAGTTATCTAAACGTATAGAAAATTGTGATGTGTACATCTGCCCATTTTCATTATTTCATATGCTCAAAGAGAAATTGACGGACTAATCTATGGAGTGAAAACGCACAATTAATAAACATATTACTGTGTGGGATTAAAGCAGAATATAAACGTGGTCTTAAAGGGCTCCAGCATTTGTCCTGAAATCCTGCCAAACATACATTATCTACAATTCAATACCACAATAGTTGGACATGTTTCTAACAGTCAGGGCTCCCTGAATTTAAAAGTTGGATTTACATGATTGTGCTGGTAGATTGTGCTCATTGTAATCTGAAGTTTTTACAGTCTACCACACTGTGTGCTGCTTTGTTTTGAATACAGATGGAGAACAAAGGCAAAGCAGAGACTGAAGTGTTGATCGTGTTGTAGTTTTTATGGGGACATCTCTGTTGAAAACCTTTAAACAAATACCTCAACATGAGTAAAAGTATATTGGTTTTCTGACTTCTTATTTATGTAATGTGCCAGACAGCCTCTCTCAAATCCACCACAAGTGTGCTGCCATGTTTTTAGGCCAACTGAGGCAGGTAAACACCGCAAGGAAGCACTTCCTCAACTGGATGACATTAATTACCACCGCTGACAGTTTCAGCTTAAACACTATTATCATCTTGGTCCCTTGTCATTGTGAAAAACTAAAATCAGTGATTTTTAAAACGGTGTACTAGTAGCCTTTGAGGTATTCTTAGAATTCAGAGGGTATTACGATCCGCATGGAGTTTTATTCTTATAGATTAATATTAGTTGTAAATGTAGGTCTGAGAAACACACTTTAAATCTAATAATCCTACTGTAATGCATTTTTTTTTACTGCATTAACTACCAATATGCAAATATTGATGTTGCCATGTGTCGGTTAAGTATTTTACATTAAGACAGATTAAATCATAAACAATAGAGAGAAATAAAGAAATGGATTTGTGGTTGAAACGTGGCATCAATAAAGATGAAAACATAAATAAAGAAGAGAAAACATTTCAAAAAGAGAATTGTAACAGAGCTAAATTCTTCAGATTAGTGTCAACATCAGGAGTTCCCAAAAAGTGTTTCAATATCGAGATTGTTGCTCAGCAACTCTGAAACTGATGGTGGAGCTGTATGAAAAATATCACTTATACACTTTGTTTGTGTTTGAGATCCACAAGAGCAGTATTTGGATCATTTAGACAAACGCAGCAAGTTGATTTGAATACCCAATCAGTAGTGTTAGAGAGCTCCAGCTCATTATCTCTAATGTGAAACTGGTTCTTTTGCAGCATATTGAAATTTGCTTTGGGGTTGACTTATAACTTGTTAAATGTACTTCATATAAGTATACAGCAGTTCTTGTAAAAGCTAACAGGGAATGAAACACTTGGCTGGGAAAGTACCTCTGCAAAGAGGCAAAGGTCACTATCTGGCTTTGACTGCTGAAGAACCTGTCACGCTGCATTCGACCATCATCACACAGCCTTCCCTTCAACTGATGAGCGCTGTCATCGTTCCTTTAACTTCAATGTCAACATTGGCCAACATAATCACAATCATTTTGTTATTAATTTGGCAACACAGACGCTTACAAGGAAACACAGTGTAATTCAACACAAACAGCAGCTAATTCTAAGATTCGGCATCAGCCAAACCACAAACACAAAAACATTTACATGTGACAGCGAGCTTTGCAACACAGCGATTGTTCAGCATGCCGTACCTCAACAAATCTAATCTGGCCTGGATGCCTGTGGGAACACAGTTGCCCTTTATGGTGGTGTGTTCCCAGGCACACAGTCAAGAGTGTCGACACTTAAAGCTGGGCTTCAACTAAAGTTCAATCAACAGATCGAGGATGTAATGCCAGTGTACTGCAAACATTTAGCTTTGCGTTTTATGTTACATTATTACTCAGCACTGATCTTAAGCAACCGGAGTAAACGGATCTGTCACTTGGGCTGTGAGAGGACTCAAGATAGTTTGACACCTGACTCATGAGAGCGTGATGCTGGACGCATGCGTAGAGGTCAGAGGGAAAGCTGATGATGCCACCATGATGGATTGTTTATGATTTCTTTGAAGAAGTCAGTGAGGGAAACTGCCCACATGTACAAAATTACAGGTACAGGTACCTCAGTACTGCCTTCCAATTGCAGTTTCTGTTACTTTTGTTCAAACAGCCTCGTACTTAACAATTAGAATCATACATTTGGATGTTGCTAACATTTTAATCTATAAAATCTTTAAAACAGCACACAGACTTTAATTTAATAATTTGGCTAATTAATCTTGTGATTCACATTTTAATTATATTGCTTATGAATTCATGTTTAAAGAGTTTAACTCACAATACATATCACAGTAAGGCTAGTTTTACTTTAGTGAAGTCTCTGAATGTTTTTCCATCACTGCTTTCTGGGGGGGTTTACTGTCATTTTGTACAGATCAAGATATGTGTTACCTTTGAAGTGTTAATTCACAACAGGGACTGTTTATATTAATATGTAATATAGTAAGTCATGCTGGACGCATGCGTAGAGGTCAGAGGGAGGAAAAAAGCTGATGATGCCACCATGATGGATTGTTTATGATTTCTGGGAAACTGCCCACATGTACAAAATTACAGGTACAGGTACCTCAGTACTGCCATCCAAGTGCAGTTTCTGTCACTTTTATTCAACTCTAGTCAATGTTACTTTTTGTTCAAACAGCCTCGTATTTAACAATTAGAATCATACATTTGGATGTTGCTAACATTTTAATCTATAAAATCTATAAAACACCACAAAGACTTTAATTTAATAATTTGGCAAGGAGGGAAACTGCCCACTTGTACAAAATTACAGGTACAGGTACCCCAGTACTGCCTTCCAATTAATATGTAATATAGTAAGTCAGGGGTGGGCAACTGGCGGCCCGGGGGCCACTTGCGGCCCCCCATCAACCCTCAACGTGGCCCTCAGGTCAATTTTTACACATCAATTAATTGGAAACATGAAGAAAACATGACAAAATCTGTCATGAAAACCAGCAATATGTCCATAATAATATTTGATCACTGGTACATGTTGAGATAAATTTGAGACATAATCGACTGTAATGGTTTAATTTGGCCCCTTGGCAGTGAGAATTAAATGAATGTGGGCCCCTTGCTGTGAACGTGAAGTCGCCCATCCCTGTAAGTAAGTCATGCTGGACGCATGCGTAGAGGTCAGAGGGAGGAGAAAAAAAAAAAGTTAGGGAGGAAGTTAAGTTATATATGTTTGCATTGAAATGTCTATCACTTACATGGAGAGATTTAGTAAGAGCAGTACGGCCCTGTATATTAACCCTAACCCCACAGCAAGCCTTTGGTAGCTTATTAGCCACTGGGTCAAAGTGACATGACAGCAATTCCCCTACTCCCTAAAAACCGGTTATACTCGCAACTTCTGGCAGGCTTGCCCATGAAATGATAATGGCGTTTTGTTATTAAAGTCACAGTCGTTTGTAACCGATGTTAAAGAGGTTACATATAATAATAATAAGAATAATAAAGCTGCACAAGTAGCTTCTCCAGCTAACCTGTGTGTGTGTAGGCCTGCAGAGGGGCTAAACGAACAAATACGTCCAGCTGCAGGAGAGTGAGGCCAGCTGTCAACCTGTCCACACATAAGGAGGGTTATCTTTTTTTTAAACAGTATGTAATATGTGGCTCTTCTTCTTCTTCTTACCTATGGTGGAGATGAAGGTTGTGTTGAAGGCGTCGTCTGAGAAGCGGAACAGCACACAGGTCTTCCCCACGCCCGAGTCTCCGATCAGCAGCAGCTTGAACAGCAAGTCGTACGTCTTCTTCGCCATTGAAAAAAGCAGCTTGTGACCCAAAACCAGGCAGATACAACAACAAAAAACAAAAAAAACAAACAAACAAAAAAAAAAACAGTAACCTAAACACGCCTATGTGAAGCCTAAAGCCAGCTCGACCGACCGACTGCCCCTGTTAGCGGTTTACAGTCTGGGATTTGTTGATTAGCTTCGTGAGCTAGCTGTGCTAAGATACCAACCCGTGTCCGAGAAGAAGTTATTATTGTTCGTTACTCCCGAGCCGGATCGTTTCCCCCCCTTCCCCTTTCACAGCAACGACAACAGAAAGCAAAAAAATAGGATCTTCCTCCCGTGTGATTCCTCTTTTCCACTCTTTCTTTTCTCCCACACAGTCGGGACAAAATGGCTTCTCTCTCTCTCTCTCTCTCTACTCACTCTGTCTCTCTACCTCTCTCTACCTCTCTCTCTCTACTCACTGTCTCTCTACCTCTCTCTCTTTCTCTCTCCTCTCTCTCTTTCTCTCTCTCTCTCTCTCTCTCTCCTCTCTCTCTCTCTCTCTCTTTCTTCAAACTAACGGTGAGCTAATTCAAATTCTCGGCACACCCCGTCATACCCTTTCTGCTTCCACTACCTCGACCGAGAAGAACTTTGTAAAAAAAAAACCGTTAAAGTCAAATTCGCTGTCTCTTCGGAGTTATTTCGCTTCTTTCTTTCTTTCTTTTTTTTTTGTTTGTTCAGGGAGAGATTAGAAACCGAAATACAGACGAACCGCCGTCGCCTTCGAATGGGAGCCACCGCGGCGACACCCTAGGCTCCACAGACACCGCCTTAACCCCGCCCCCTTTCTGTCAAAACTCCTCGCTTCTTGATTGGTCACAACGGCTGTCAATTCCCTAGGCACTCCAAGTGTGATTGGCTTGTCTCCCTCAACACACTTGAGAGGGGTTTTAAAAAAGGGCGTTTCTTAGATAAACGTTACTGCGTAAGTTACTCGGACATTTAGGCTCAAACCTCCCATTGCTCAACTCATTGAAATGTATCCAATGAGCCAATATGGCGGCCGGTTTCATGCGGAGCCCCCGTAGGTTCCAGTTTTCATGGCAAAAACTGGCATTAGATGCGGTGACTTTCCCAGTTGTGAGTCAGGCAAAGTGATGTCATTTATAAAAAAGCCCTTCTGTGCTTGTTACGGGCGTTTCCCACATCCTCTGCCCTGAGAACAACAAGGACATTTATCCTCTTAAGTCTTATAATAACTGTAAACACTATCTAGCTTCAGACTGTGTGTGTGTGTGTGTGTGTGTGTGTGTGTGTGTGTGTGTGTGTGTGTGTGTGTGTGTGTGTCTGTCTGTGTGTGTGTGTGTGTGTGTGTGTGTAAGTGTGTGTGTGTCTTTCCTTCCGCCTGTCAGAGTAGTTTGACTCTCAGACACTCCTTTAGGAATGCAGAGTATGCCCTGCTTTCTACTGCCGAGTACAGACTTGCCACAAACTGAGACAGAAAGAAAGAGAAAGGAAGGAAAATGAAAAAATTGGAAAGATTGAACTATAGGTGTAATGTTGACCTCATTCAGGCACTAGATTAAAAGTCAGGAGTTGAAAGTTTGGTAATCTAACAGGGCTGAATGATAGCTCGTAAAATCCAAAGTATAGTTTATAGTCCATCAGCATCATTATCCTGTAACCCCAAAATATCCCTTAGTGTTTGTGCTTCTTAGGGTCCCATTTTTGTTGAATTATGTATTTATGATTGGATGTTAAATATTGATGTTTAACCAGAACTCTAATACTGAAGCTGGTAACATGGAGCTTATTTAAATCGTGAAACCAATGATACCATAGCATCTTTCTGCCGGACTCCTCTTTGGCAGATAAAAATATATTCAAGACCCTCCACCCCTCATCATACCCCTTAACATATATATAGACATCAGTCACTCTCTTTGCTAACAACTTCCTATATTTGTAGAACTTACCTCAAACACAGAAAGTACAGAAAAGCAGTTCGGTGTGTGGCAACAAATTGGAAAAACAAAAAATAACACGGGACTTTGAAAGAGGAAGCAATTAAAAGCGATACTGTAACATGAAACCCCCAGATTTGTGACGTCTGGTGTAGATTCATTTCCAGCCTTACACTTACCTGAAAGTCCTCTCACAACCTTAATTCATGCTTTGAAATCAGTGAAAAAACATACTTACAACTAAACTGGAATGTCAAATATATAAAGTTAGATTTTTCATGCCATGTGTACATAGAGGAGAGAAAGATAATTAACTTATTGTAGTCTCTGGGGTTTATGAATGTCTGTGCTTCATGACATCACAGGTTATTGTTGGTGAGTCCTTTACACCAAAGTGGAAATTTCACACTAACTAACAAAAACCAGACCACGCAAAGTCCAAAACAGATGCTGCAGAGGTCAAAAAGGTGAAACAGAGCTCACAGATTCTTTAAACCCAGCTTTTTAGAACCACCTTGATTTCTTTTTCAGCCCACATTTTTTTTTATTGTGTCCTCACTCTGACTTTTCACCAGTTTGGCAATCTTTGTTGCGCCAGTAAATCATGTCTTAACACAAATATCCTCCCCAGAGCAGATTGCATTCCTGTATCTCTCAGCATGGAGGCCCCGGGGTTTGTGTCTCTCTCTCTCTCCCTCACAAACAGCAAGCAGGGAAACACTTGAACCTCTACAGTGATAGACACATTTAAAGAGGATGAGTCTTCACATGGACTGTTTGACGGGTACACCATGAAGACATGACGGGTTTATTTCACAGATTTACCTTTAATCCACTGTGGGAACAAGGGAAGAAAGGGGGGGGGTAACATGCAACAGAGTACAGACGCTGGTATGCATGTTTATCACTGCGAGGCCGGACGTTCCATCTGAATGTTTACAATAAATGCTGCTTTTCTTAATATTTTATAATATACTGCCTCTGTAATAAGTTGTAGTTTAAACATTTAGATGATGAATTAAATGTGTGTATGGAAAATGTCAAGCATTCCTATCGTGCTATAGCTTCCCAGTTTGTGAGAAATGTCTTCTTTTTTTGTCTTTGTGAGGGTAAAATATTAACCCCTCTTAGACTTTGTGCTTGTTTTTATCCCTCTGTGGTGTTTTACTCATAGTTTGAAAGGTTAACAAGAGATGAATGCTGCAAGGCTGCCGCTCGTCTCAGTCTTAAGAACTACACATTTTTCATTGAATATCTTTAAGGCCCCTGTTTAATACACAAATAATTAACGTCCTCCAGGTTCTCAAAAAAGAGAAAGTAGTTCTATCTAAAGTGAAAACTCAGACACATGACTTTTTCTTTAACAGCAACTGGATGGATAGTGTTGTGAGTTTTTTTTTACTAAGTCACACCTTGCTCTCTGTCCCCAGAGTCAGAACCAAACATGGAGAAGCAGCATTCAGTTTCTATGCTCTTTATATCTGGAACAAACTCTCAGAAAACTGCAGGTCTGCTGAAACTCTTAGCTCTTTTAAATCGAGGTTGAAGACACCTGCCTTTAATTAAACAGCTTTAATACGATTTAAAACTTTTACTCTGCACTGTAATTATTATTATTTAACTCTTTTAATTTGTTAACTTTTATTTTGTATTTTTTATTTACATTTATTTCATTTTAATTATTTTATTTGAACATATTTTCAGATTTAATAATTTCAGTGATTTTTACATTTTTAAATGTTCTATTTTAATGTTTCTTTTCTTTCCTCTGTCATGATGCTTTTGATGTCTTGACATAAATAAACTTGCCTTGCTGTGCCTTTAACTAACTGAGCAAAAGGGGTTTTCAGTTCAAATGTGAGTAATCTCTATTAAACTTTATCAAACAACTCACGATACAGTAATTCAGGTAGTTTGTGGCTTTTGTAGACTTTTCCAACGCCACTTCAAAAGGTGACATATTCAAGGTTGTCTGAAGTGCTTCTGAGAGGAATAAAAGGCTGCTGAATTCCCCATGTGGCTGGGCCTTTCCCTTTTGAGGTCGGTCAATCCTACATCAGCCTGAATGCAGAACAGATAAAATCACACATTTTATAAAGAGGCTGTTTGTGAACGTTTGTAGTTTTGATAGAAATCCCCAAGTAAACCATCAAGTGTCAAGTCCCACAGTTTACTCACCCTTTCTGGTGACATTGACCAGATTCACGTCATAATGTAATTCACACTTGTTCCACTAGGTGGTGCCGTTGAATTGTTGAATAGGTAATGATGCATTTTACACTCGACCAAAGTGTCCTCATTGTATCCTGTTCTGAGAGCTTTTTAAGCGATGGTAAGGGAAACTTCCTGGGAACCATTGGTGTAGAGACTTAAAAAAAATGTTTAAAAAAAGTATTTGCTACTAAATCTGGAAGAAATGCCACGGCTGGATTATAGCTTTTATAAAAGCATATCCTGAAACTGATCCTGCCCTTAAAATGAAGAGGTGAAAGTACAACAATATTAATGAAACTGTTACTTTATTTAGGCCTATGTTACATTATATGTTTCCAGACTTTAGCAAAGAAGAAAGCAACTTTAAGTCAAGAGGTTGAATTTTTAATTTATTATTAACTATATTACCAAATCTACCTGCAGGTACAAATAAAGTTACCTTACCTTACCTTATATTGTACGAGTATGTACATACAAGCAATTCCATTTGCTCTGAATATAATATAAGACAATGTACAGATATATGAAAAATTAAATAAAGTAACAAATAATTCAACATATTTATAATCATCAAGTAGGTAAATTGTTGGATAGCATATGCATTTATACTGGCTTTAAATAGTACAAATGATAACAGAATATATTTCTCAAACCCCATGTGTTTTATATTATTAGGGTTATTGTTCAGGTCTGGATTGGGCAACAACAGGGTGAATTTCTAACCATAGAAACACACACACATGTTCCAGTGTGACCAGTTGAAGTTGGTGGCACCCTTGCACAAGAATCCGCTCTACAGTGAGACAAAACTCAATTTCCCATGGTCCTTTGTTCCGCTCCGCAGTGATGTGGGGTGTGGTGGTTGAATGATTGTGTGTGCATGAGTGTGTGTGTGTGTGTGTGTGTGTGTGTGTGTGTGTGTGTGTGTGTGTCTGTGTGTGTGTTTCTGTGTGTGTGTTGCGTACCGGAGGGGAGCCCTGTCTCTCCGCACAGACCGAGAGACGAAAAGCCCAGCTCGGAGCATCAATGAGCGGCGGACAGGAGGATGCGGACGGCGGTCTGTAACGGAACTACCGGGCGTGTGGAAAACGAGGACGACATGATTGTGAATGCTGTATTCATCATTGATTTAATTGTCGGCATTGCTGGATTTTTCCCCCTTGCCGAATGAATCTGAACGTGAAGAGGGACCTGCAATGGAGCGTCGATCCAGCGCGTGAGATTTGCTGACCGTCTGTCTGATTGTAAGCTGATATCACAGACAATAAGAAATGGAAATTAGCCATTAGATGTATTGGCATCTCAATATTTGTGTTGGCTTTAATAGGAATCCGTGTTTTTAGACCCTGTAGCTATTTTCCTTTTTGTTATGATCAAGAAGCCATACTGAATGTATTATTAATGATTGAGGAATCCATGGTTACACAATTCACAGGCAGACAGGAGGCCAATTAAAGGCACCATTTAAGGTTTCTTATTTTTTTATAGTTATACTGAATGATCCTGCTGTTGTTTTCATAAAGAAAACAAAAAGCCAGTCATGTCTAAAAATAAGAGTAGTGAGTCGGTGAAGGTGGTAGTTCGATGCCGCCCACTGAACCGAAAAGAGGAGTCCAACGGGCCTGCGGGGACCATCATACAGA